ACTCTTATAGGGACGCTAAGATTAGGGATTAAGCATATTATTAGTACTGTGCTTAGGATAATAATAATGCTAAGTTTTTATAAATCCTAAAGTCGAAAAAATTTTGAATAAATAAGTATCGTAATAAGATAGATAAAATTCTTAACATCTCTTACGACATCGACAAACAAATTACAATTGTAGAAAATTTATGTATTCATATGAAACACTAGATAGATCAATTGGGTAATAGACTTTAGATAAAGGCTAGTGATACAGTAATATTGTAATATTTTGAAAACTACATTTGTGATGTGTAGTGCGGGCAATTAAATTAATGCCAATATGTACAGTGTTCGAAATTTTTTTGGTGAGCAGAAGTGATGTGACAGTCATATACACTGCATGTACAGAAAATCTAATACAATATTATGCATGTATGCATAATTTTATCATCTGGTGTCAAATTGCGCTGCTATTGATATTAAAAGTCACTTAATGCTAAAAGCAAAGTGTATGTCAAAAAAAGTGATATTGTGTGACAAGAAGAGATGAAAAGGTTTTTTCGAATGTGTTCACTATGAATCATTTCTTTCACTGTAATAAACACACATAGCTTACTTTTGGTATGAGCTCTTAAGTGATCGTGCAGTGTGCCACGTATAATTCTACAGTGTAGTAAAACACACTGCCAGAAGCAGGACAGTGCGTGTGTGTTTGTGTGTACATTGGATATCGAGTTTCCACTTTGCGAGGATTGAATGAAATACAACATCCTCGCTGGCTCTGAATATACCACTCAGAAGAGTAAAAACAGAGGCCCTATGTCATCCTTTGGCCCACAAAACTCTGTGCCAGGGATGCGTGAACCTAAGTCTTGGTGAAGTACGAAACCTTTAATTGATGCAGTTATGATCTGAAATTCCAGCTGCTTTTTCCAATCCTAACAATTCTTATCCCAATCTACAATCTTTAATATCATCTTATATATAGATACGTCTGATAAAACTGAACAATTTTAATTATGTTCCTAGACAAACATCCCTGTCTATTCCCATTATGAACGCAATTCATGCATGCATTTGTACCTGCACCATAACTTCCTGATGTCCAAGTACCAATCTGAAAAAAATACAATCCTGATCAAATAAGGCCGGGAGGTCATCTTGTGACAACATCTGTGTCTGCAACAAGTAGTCTATCTATTTTCATGGAAGAAAAGTAACGTCCACTCTTGGTCTCGGTGGAAGCACAGAGAATCTCACAAATGGCACGATGCAACGACTCCAAACTCAAAGTATGCGCTAATTAAAAATGTCAGTTGTCAGGCAATCAATGTCACATACATATGAAAACATATTTTGTTTATGCGCACTTAGGGCAAAACAGTATGTAGTAGATTTTCACCACTATGCTTTCTTTCACCAAAGATATACAGATATGAAATATCAAAAGAGACTGTACAGAATACTCTGTACCATTATATTATATGCATATATATTTTAAGGTTTTTAGCTCTCTATGTGTCTCATAAATTTATATGACTTACCAAATTATTACCAGAGATGGAGAAAATAATCAAAAAGAATATTATAAAATAATCGCCAACTCTAGTTATGAAAATATAATTTTATTCAAAGTATATGAATAAAAATTATACATCATAAAGATATAGGTAAAATTATGAAAGACATGGAAATACATCTTTTTTCATATTGTATTTTAAATTAAATAAATGTTAATACAGCTTTCTCTTTAAATTTGTATTATCAATTAATAACTTCTTTAATGATTTTTATATTTGAAATGTATTTGAAGTATAGTATTTTTATATCTAATTGAAATAAAGTTGAAAAAATCATAACCTTTTAAAATATAATAAAAAATGTACATTACATGATATATATACATATGCGTGTGTATATATATATATATATTGTGTGAATATATATTGTGTGTATATATATTATATTACCCATTATATTACATATTATATATATATATATATGCTCATACTCTGTTTAATTTTAAAATGATTATATAATAAACATAAAACAAATTGACGAAACACATAGATAGCTTTAAACAGTGAAGTCTTAATTAAAAGAGGAAATGATATAATTTTTTTTTGTAGGTGAGCTATCCTCATTGAGGGACTCTGAAAGCAAGTACAGACAGCAACATGCAGAAGCATCTCATAGAGAGAAGATTTTAGTCAGGAGACTTGCTTCTAAAGAACAAGAATTACAAGAATATATTGTATGTAGATTTTACATTTTTTAATAGAAGAAATATAGAACTAATTAAACAATTTCATAGCACATAACTCTTCTTCTTCTTTCCTCTCTCTTTTAGAGTCAAATTGCTGAAATGAAAGCTGCTCATGCTCCATCTGCTGTGGCTTTAAGATCTGCTTTGTTAGATCCAGCTGTTAATATTTTAATTCAAAAATTAAGGCAAGAACTTGTTACAACTAAAGCTAAATTAGAGGACACCCAGAACGAACTTAGTGCCTGGAAATTTACACCAGATAGGTAAATAATAATTTACATCTTTTGATAAAACTAAATAACAAATTTGTATTTTCAATGACACTCTGTATATTTTTTTTATCTATAGCAATACAGGTAAAAGACTAATGGCAAAATGCAGATTGTTATATCAAGAAAATGAAGAATTAGGTCGCATGATTGCTAGTGGACGAATTGCTAAGTTGGAGGGAGATCTTGCTCTTCAAAGAAGTTTCAGTGAAGAAATGAAGAAATCACAATCAGGTATTATTTTTGTTATGGATATTTTTTTAATATGTTATAGATCAAAGTAGCTAATATCTTTTGGTAATGTCTATGTTACAGAGTTGGATGAATTCTTGCAAGACTTAGACGAGGATGTTGAAGGAATGCAGAGCACAATTTACTTCTTACAACAGGAGCTACGTAAAGCTCGCGAATCAGTTACATTGTTACAGCAAGAAAATGCAGCGTTGAAAGCAAATTCAAGCGAAAATAATTTAACGAATGGTTTGTCACCTCACACACCACCAATAAAGAAGGAAGAATCTGAAGAAAATTCAGTTTCGGAAACAAAGACTTCAAAATCAATGGAAGATAGTGATGTGTGCAAAGGTGCTAGGACTCCACCGTTATCATCGCAGCGATCGCCACAGTGTGAGTTTTCTAATACTGAAAGAACAGAACGGGTCGAACGAAAACCTAATCAAGCAGATCATAATGACGAAAGCTCAAGTGATTCGGCTGCTTTGATCATTAAAGTAGAGAATGAGGAATTAAGTGATAGGGAAGAAGAACATGAAGAAAATCGAAATAATAAGAGGATACTAAGGAGCAAAAGTCATAATAGAAATAACAATAAAACTAATGGGGAAGAGGTGCTAACTAGAATAACTAGGGGTAGGGATAGGACCAAAAGGGACAAAAGTGCACCAGGTAGTGACGACGAAAGGACATATAAAAAAAAGAGAAGAGAGAGTATCCTTTCTCTTGATTATAATGAAGCTGATGATGACGCGTTAGTTCTAACTAATGGTGAGACTCTTCAAAGCGATCCAGAATGAACAGTTTTCTAGAACGATTTTATACACATAACACTTGTTATATATGAACAAAGCTTAGCGTGACTTAATACCTAACATAAGTTGAATCTAATATTTTATATTTAAGAATAATATGGAGACATATTATGATAAATATTATTTCTGATGGTTTTGTAATTTTTCATAACGTGTATCCGTAAATATATCTTTTATTTCAATTGTTTTAAAGTCACGTTAATGCCAAGATAACAGCACTTGATTACGTATGATTATATCTTCACAAAAATAACGTGGCGTTGGAATAAAGGGGTAGATAGTTAAAACTATTTTTTCTTTCGCAATAAAATCGCATTAAATTTTCTAATAAGTATTCGTTATTACGAACAAATGCTTCAACGTTTTTAAATGGCTTTTTGTAAATTCGTTAAAACATTAATAGTAGCTTCTCTTGTTAGATTTTGCAGAGCAATCATAAAAAATATAAATAACAATAGAATAATAATCAGGGCTATGCCTTTTTTATTATGTAAATACACAAATGTTAATATCTGGTACACAACGACGCACATACATAGATTTATACACGATTGTGTGCGCAATAATTTGTATGTATGTATCGTTTTTTTCATTGTGAGACACGCGTGTCAACATTCGTTATTCATGCATAAAATATGCTTTTAATTGTGTATAATAAAATTGAGGTCTATTTGTTAGATTTATTGAATACCTGTAAATTATATGAAATATTAAACGATATTAATTTCAGTAAAACGTGCAACTGATCTTGTAGATCACAGAACATCACAGTTGCATATTTTTTATTTTTTTTGAGGACAAGTATACAAAATATTTACATTGCTATTTTATACTATCTTGTATAAAAGCACATATTTTTTATCGTATTTCTTACATAAATATTTTGCTTTCTAATTCATTTGTAATTTTGGTATGTAATGTTCAGTTTGGATTTTGAATAGGTATATCTATTGTATTTGGAGTATAATTTTTGGAAACTTATCTCTAATTAAAATATAATTTGTGGATAATTCAATTCAAATATATCTATAACAAAAACGATTATTATTGTATAATATGTAATTTACCAATTAAAGATTACCTTTCAACACAAAAATAATTATTTATGATAATCGTAAAGTGAAACGTCATTTCTTTTATTCATCAACTTCTACAGTTATGAAAATTGGAAATTAAAAACATTTAATTAAAATAAAATTGAAACCACAAAGCCTGTAGCCTTGTAACACAAAAGTTGTATTTGTTCCTAATTTTATACGAAATATTTTTAAATAATTAATATAAACTTCGAGAAGATGTAATGTTTATCAAAATGAAAAAAATATTTTCTAAAGGTTAGTCATTTTTGAATTATAATATTATATCATCTAAATATGTAGATATTGTCTAATTAGGGGAAAATTAGTAATGTGGTTACTATCAGTGGAAAAAGCTTGTGACGTAATATCTGATATTCGTATAGCTGGTAGTGGTAGTAGAGTTCGAGCCATTCCCGGCATACTCCGGCATTAAGATTTTTGCAACTATTGCGGCGAGTCTGCGATCAGCGGTTACTTCTGCACTTCACATTTTCTGATATTAGTTTATATAAACAAGTTGATTCGTCACAGTTCCAATAATGTTCGCAGCAAGACGTGCTCTGTTTTCCAACACAATGTAAGTCTATCTTACTTTTTATTTATAATTGACATTCGCATAGTTGATATTATATAATTTCTAACCTGTCATTCTTTCTACTTTTTGTCATTAGTATTAGACATTTTATTCGTAAGAATTGCGTTTATTGATATTGTATATATACATAATTGTACAAAAGATTAACATTTGTACTTTAAAATATAATTACGAAAACAGTATCAAAATTTGGAATGAACTATATTTAATATAAATTGATTTCTTTTCACTTAATTAAATATATAATTTATACATGGTCATTTATATAATTTAAGTTCCAAATTGAAATTTATTTTACAATAATTAATAGTTAAATGACAAATTATCACTGATATTCAGCCATATGTATTGGATGCATCTATCAAATTTAAAAATATTGAACCAAATTACAAAAGGCAAATGTATATTTTAAAAAGATATATTTAGACATATTGTCAAAGTGCTGAAATTAACTGTATATACAAAAAATCAATATCAATTTGGTTTGACCTTTGGCATGTAGATACATGTTAGATAAATACTTTGTCAATGTGATATATAAATATCATTATATTTGTAGTCCATATACATCATACATGTATAAAGTAAATTTTATTTGAATTTGAAATGTAAAAAATAAAAAGAATATACATGATAAAAAGTAATAACAAAAAATAAACAACATATGACAAGATAATATTCATATTATCAATAAAAACAAAGTTGATATTTTGTAGATATGATATTTTTAAACATAAAAGTTAAGTATATAATTTATACTCTATTTTTTTTAACTAATACATATTATTCTTAACTTTACAATATATATTATGCAAATTTCTAGATAAAATAAAAATTCTATTATGTATCTTTCACTTTTAGCAAAGACACATTTGTGAGAACAAAACATTCACTACCTGAATTACCCTATGATTACAAGGCTTTGGAACCTATTATCTGCGCTGAAATTATGCAACTTCATCATTCAAAGCATCATGCGACATATGTTAACAATTTAAATGTTGCCGAAGAGAAAATGAAAGAAGCTGTCGCTAAAGGTGATGTTAATACGCAAATTGCATTGGGTCCAGCTATTAAATTCAATGGAGGAGGTCACTTAAATCATTCAATTTTCTGGTGTAATCTTTCACCAAATGGCGGTAAACCAGATGGTAAATATTGTTTTACTACACGAGATAGATATTCTGTAATAAAATCAAATATAAATTAATCAAATATCTTTTCTTTCAGCTGCACTCCTCAAACAGATTGAGAAGGATTTTGGTAGTATGGAAGAGATGAAAAAGCGGTTATCTGAGAGTACTGTTGCAATCCAAGGTTCTGGTTGGGGTTGGCTTGGATATTGTCCAAAAGCAAAATCTTTAAGGATAGCTACTTGTGCTAACCAAGATCCTCTCCAAGCTACAACTGGTCTGATACCACTTTTTGGTATCGATGTTTGGGAACATGCGTACTATTTACAATATAAGAATGTTCGACCTGATTACGTTAAAGCTATCTTCGACATAGTGAACTGGAATGACGTGAATAGCCGTTACAACAATGCTCAGAAATGTTAGAGAGTGAAGGAAAATATGATAGTGACTAAAATGATTTTTACATAGTATGAACCTTTTCCGAGAATCAATTTCGTATTCTCTCTCTTCTTGTTTGTCTTCAGAAGACATTTATGATTTTATATAAACCTGTTTCATATATATTGTACACATATAATAATAAATGGTAATGAAATTTGCCAGAGAAGTTATTGTTGGTTTAAAATCAGATAAAAAAAATATCTTACTAGTTATATTATTTCATAAAGATTATTTTTCTTTCTTAAAAATATAAAATATATTTTCAAATGTTAAACCGATATTCTTAAATTAATAAAAGAATCATCTTTTACACATCAAGAACGATTTGAAAAACTTTCGCGCTCAAATCGAAGCGCGCTATTTAAGTTATCATATATCGATAACCATCGCGGTCATTTCCGTTTTCATCTGGCATAATATCAATGAGCAGTGTGAATTGGAAATTTCGCATGAAACGTCGCGTTATTTCGCTAGGAGAAAACAGACATCAGCGCCACATGGTTAATAAGCTGCACAAGCGAGTGCCGAGAAAGAAGAAAAAGACGCCTAACTCGCGCCTTTGATAATCGATCGGTTAGAGTTGAATTACTTTGCGTCGCGTCGCGACGCGTCCACGCCGTGTCTCGAGGAACATCGCGGAACTAGAACCAGTATGGCCGGAGGTCCTCAGCTGTTTTCACGTCACTGCCTACGTATCTGGTGAGTCGAAAACATTCTTGTCATTTTAACCACTTGTACTAATAGCACATTCGTTATGAATGCACGAACGCGTTGCTATCATTGTAGTTATCGTAAACTCGTTTGTGTACAATACATCGTCTATTATAAATCCTCGAATGCCGTTTGCGCCGCAAATTAATTTCCTGTTTGCTTTGTCAATCTAGAGTACACAGTAGATACGTACAACTTTAGTCAGACAGATCAGTTTTAAACCATCGCGACATTGTATTCCTTTATTCTGTTTCATAGTTAGTTCATTAGCATGGTTAGTTTGACTTTATACGATGACAGTTCGTAAATACACTACATGTATAAAATATAAAAAATCGTCCGAAGAATTTTGATCGATTATTATTAGGGATAAAAATTCTACGTTCCTTAGGTCATTTTCGACATAATCGGGGTTTCCCATTGTTAAACAATTTTAATTTGAGGAAAATATGAAAGAATCATTGTTAATACGCGTGATTTCTTAAAACTTCAAAAATCTTTTTGTTTGTCAAAACGAGCGTTAAATTAGGACATAAAAATTCGAAGACTAGGGCTTAAATGTAAGTAATTCGAACATTTCAAGTATAATTTTTTTCGAAATATTTCCTTGCAAATGAGTATCTGAATAAATGATTTTGATCGATACTTGACATTTTTTTTTACACGTTCTATAATCTATTTCTCTGTTATGTCAAGGAGGGTTTGAAAAAAGAAAGTTCTCATCTATATTGGCCCTTAACGTGTGCTCGTACGTGTATTTGCATAAAGATTGAACGATATGCGATGTATAAAGATAAGTGCATGTATGTATCGTATCTATCTAGTTAATTCTAAGATCAATGAATCGAGGAGTACGTTCGCAGCATGTTTCGAATGATTCATTATGTTAGTGCATATTAGAAGTGTTAATTATGATCGAAGGGGGCGCTTTCGTCTTAGTGAACGCGCGTGGAATCGACTCGTTCCTGCCACAAGGCTTTTGCTGGTAAAATACGAAGCCACCCGATGGTACACATTTACACAAATACGTTCGAGTCGCGGATCGTTACTGAAGAAAATTATACCGCGCTTCTAGGATTAGGATTTTTTCAAAATTAGGGTATGCAGGTGCAACGTCGCGGAAGGTTGATGCTGAAAAGACCGGGGCACAAACTAAGTCTTTGTGCTGATTTAAGTTCATTAGGGATACGTTAATAGAAATTGACTATCAGATTTGTTGTGAATAAGAACGCTGTTTTGATTCAGCGATCGGGCCAATACGAACTTAACAAATTTAAACAAATTTTTAAATAGAAATCTTTATATTTTTTGAAATTATTTTAATTTTTTTAGCAGTTAAAAATATTATATACTTCAAGATAATGGAAGGACTTATATTTGATGTAGGAAAAGAGAAAAAATAAAGAAATGTTTCTGATATGTATTTGAAAAGTGTAATGTTTTTGCCCTTCATTTGTTTAAATAAGTAATAGTTTAATAAGTTGAATATGTTCGATGGAAATTATTTGTGTATCGATAGCTGACTAAAAGTGGTACTAGGAATAGAAGTGCCAAGTATCTACTTTGATTCAATATCATTGGAAGTTATTCTTCTTTTCTCGGAACTTTGCACGTTTCAGTAAATCTTGACATGTATAATTTTAATAGAATACTAATTATGAACTTTCGTTGAACATGACATCTATGTGTTATAATTTATTCTTCTATTAATCTTAATATATATTAATATAAAAATGTTAAATGATATTTATTATAAAGTTAATAGTGTTTAGAATATCGTAAATCAAAAAATTATGATATTAAAAATGAAACAACATATATTTATCAAAATTGATATTACGAGTTTGGTAGAATATATTTCATAATTATTATATTACTTATTATATAACATTATTAAACCATCTATTTTTCATGATATAAAATAAAATGCAAAATATAATAAATTATAAACGATGAACATTCAAATTATAATTATACGTGACATAATATTAGGAAATTTAGAGGAAAATTTATCATTTTGTGACAGTGGCCAAATGTCCCAGTCACGTTTCTGGAACGAAATCTCATGAAATATGAACATGCGTCAATGGTACTACTTATATATAACTTACTCACGATGCAACGTTGCGGAAAAACAATTTTATCGAAATATTGTGATATTTGATTCAATATAGCCTGTTAACGTAAGATAGCATTTGTTTTCGATTAAGATATATGTATTCATCAAGATATTTATCTAATATCAGTAGCCACTAATTATGTCATTTTTGTTTTTCTTTATTCACAAATAATTTCAAATATTTAAATATATGTTAAAAGACGAAAATATGATAGACAGAACATTTTAGATAAGAAGGGCAAATAAATAATTTGCCTACTTTACCCATAAAAGTATTACCCCTTTTTAGAGGTGGATTCCTAATTAGGATGTGCAGTTATAATCTAAAATCATGAATAATTATGCACAACACTAAATATACGATAACCGGGTTTCTCAAATTTTCCAATAACATTAATAATTCATCTACGGCATTTATGAAACTATTACAGTTTCAGAAGTGGCTTCTATAGTTAGGAATTGCAATTATATAATTTAAAAACATAAATGAATATTTCTAAATTTTTCTAATAATATTAACGCTTCAGCTACTATAACAGCGAAACTATTATGCTTTGGGAAGTAACTTTCGTGGTGTAGTTATAATCTAAAATTATGAATGAATAAACACAATAATAGATATGCAATAACCGAGAGTCTTTAACTTTTAACAATATTGATAATTTGGCTACTATATTGACGAAACGGTTACTGCCTTTAGGGGTGGCTTTCGTGATTAGGGGTTTGTAACAAAAGTTGGATTAGATTTTTGAGTGAGCAATAACAGGCGGTTAGACACGTATTCGTACATGGTTGAAATAAAGATACGTGGGTGCTATTGCCGACATCGTTGGATATCTTTACTTATTGATTGCTCCGTAGAAATTGGCCGGCGCCGCCCGCGTCGCATCGGTCGATCGTCGGGTTGCAGGCTGACGTCATCCGTGCCTCTACGCCTATTGATTTTCTCCTCTAGGCGCGATGTGATTGGTCCATAAACGGAGAAAGCGGGCATGCACGACCCTGGACCACGATGTCGATCGGCGCCCGCGCACTCTACATCGCTAACTAAGGGTCGCCATATTGCTTCCAACCACCTACTACCGTGTATCACCGGTTTCGATACTACTTCACTTTCGAGGGCAAATTCCTATCTAGCAACCATGTGCGCATACCTTCGTCGACTTAGATCGATCATCCGAAAATATTTTTAATCATAGATTCGTTGTCACATCCTTGAAAGTTTATCCAGAAAATTCGAATGATCTAACTATTTCTTACTTTTCGTGGAAAAATTATTTTACATAAATGTATGTAAGACACGCTAAATTTGGAATAAGGTGCACCGGGATAGGTCTCTTGACAATTTCTTGCAGCCGTTTTTCGTTTACGAATGGGATTTATCGCCTGCTTCTCTTGATAAATGAAGCATTTCCCTGAAATGCTTTTCATCAAATAGTCGCTTCACTTCTTCGATTTTATCTGCCTATTTTGGCATAAAAAATAAGAGGAATATATAGGATTTCTACTTTAAATTTGATTTGTTGGTTTGGACAAAAATACGCTTCTGTGATACATTTGAAAAACGTTCCCATGTCGTGCTTTTATGATATAAATTTAACGAGAAGAATAACGTATAACACTCCAGTGAAATAGTTTAATCAGCAGCTACAAAAATAGTTTAAAGCATAATACAAAAAAGCTTACCAAATGATAATTAAATAATAATACGTATATATTTATTACAAAATGAAGATTTCAGATTGAAATCAGCTTTTGGTTTACTCCGTTTTTGATGGAAAAATGATGTTAAATGGAATTTTGCATCGTTGGGAATATGGTTTACTCTAATCACTTGAAAGTAACTCACACCTGATACGGCATCGCAGTAATTCTTTGAAACCAAACAATTCGTGTCGCTACTGATAATCAGGACTGATGCTTTTACGATCAATTTATCTTAATTACAAGAGCTGTCCCTCACAATAGGCGTGGGATTATACACGGGAAAAATTAGGGCAATTGCATTGAAAAGAATGCGTCACCGTGGACTTATTATTTTTCATTTTATTTCGGTATTAATTCATAATCATAATTATCCTATATCTTTGGGTAACGCAGTGTCGTAACGAGTAATTAGTATGAATAGTTGCACGGTTCTTCCTGGCAATAAATTATGGAAAATTATCTGGCGAACCTATCATTACGTTAAATAAATTGCGAGGGAACTTTGCTGCGCAGAAGTGCAATTTAGAAGGAAATTGGTGTGCAGGCCCAGTGGAATAATTTAAAGTGATGTCAGAAAATTTGATTTGTCTAGCCGTTTTAGCAATGAATTTTTTTGTACGTGCCTTGCAAGAAAAAATTATTTATCTATTAATTATTAACACATAATTTTCTGGATTTGTTCTGTAAAGAAAACATGGTACAATATAGATAATAGAAAATAGGTACATTTATTATTTAGTTAAGTAATAATTGATTAAAGTACAATGTTGCGTATATGTAATATCTAGAGATGACCTTTTTAATTCTACAATTTTTTTTAGCAAAATCTTTAAAATTCTTGCTTACGTATAATATTTCTTGTAACCCTGCTGCGTTCTTTGAGCTATTTTCCATTATGTGTTTCTATCCTTAATAAATTTCTTAAGTTTGAAGAGTAGATAAAATAATCGTTGTATGATCTTTTATTTCAATTTTTTGCTAGAGATTTTGTTACAACACTAAACTTTTTTCTTTATTTTTTGTTAAAACGGGGGACATGATTCAGGCAGAAAAATTCGAAGATTATGACAGGGCTAGAAAAACTACGTAAAATATAACGACTAAGGATCAGTTCAACGCCGAACGGAACGGAAATCTGACGAGCAGTTTATAAAAGCGTGGGTTTGGGCTGTTGACTACGCACGTATCCTGACGTCATTGATGTGTATGACTCATTTGGCGAAGAATTCTATTTCATGAAAACATTCTCACTTCCTATGGTATATCTCGCATTCAACGCGAGATTAGTGCTTCTAACTTTAGAAATAAAAAAAGAAAAATAAATATGCAAACTTTGATAGACAAAATCTTTTATCAACTTTTGAATGAATTGGTAGAGATATTTATGAAAAAAAGATAATGCACATATGTACCCGGTAGCATAATCTATCGATACATGTGAAATATCAACTATTGCATTCCATTGGAAATAGATTTAATCTTATTGGGAAATATTGACAGATTTTCTGTAGTCTGTTAACATCTCTGTTTACACAATCTGTTGTATATGTAGACACCACAGATATCCTAACGAGGGATGGGTGTGCGACCTTTGTTTCTCCGAGCAACCCCTATACCTGTCGCATCTTTAGTGTATAGTATACATGTAGTAAACAGCCGGACAGAATCTTTCGCCTACTCGAACGGAATGACCATATTTAGCAAGCAGGTATTATGTAAAACACGACATGCATCGATTTGTGAATAATAGGAAAGATAGAATCAGACTAGTCATTTCGAATCTTTCAATACATCTTGAGACTTATTGCGCAGAATACACTGCATCTCGTATATTTCCCATTGAAATGTTATAATCTGTTATCTACCGTAACTTAGTTAAAACTTAGTTTATAAAAAGCACAATATGATCTTCTTCGAACAAGAAGCTTAACATGATGAGAATTAAATGTTTCACCGTCCTCAAAGCGATATCGTTAATTTATTTTTTCACCGATTGAATTTACATTCCACTTCATATTTTACATTTACGGTTCTATTATCTGTATATCTCTTACACTCAGTTTACGCAATAAATCTGAAGACGTAAAAAGTTTCTCCGAGGACGTTCTTGAAAAAATGGCCAATGGCGTTTTCTTGATGTCATTTAATGAGCATTGCTGTAAAGCGTCATGTTTTACAAGTTTCTGCTACGGATTGTTAAATATATCATCGAATCGAATATCATCGAATTGCACGTGACTTGAAACGTGTTTTTGTTATTCTTGATTTTCGTCTTATTTCCATTCATTGAATCTCCCTGATTTTACTTCTGCTAAAAATTTAGGTCTCCGATGTATTAATTCTTTACAGCATTAGTTGTAAAAGAACCATTGAATCAATTTTACGTAACGTCTGATCGAGCCTCTGTAATCATTTTATGAGACTCGTTAGATGTGGCTTCTCTAACTTGTACTTGTCTCTAAACCGCACACGGTTTAATTGTTGACCAATACTACTTGATTCGAGTTAATTTCTAGGATAATAGCTTCTTTTATCTTATTATGCCACTTAACTCATAACAAAACCACCTTAGTTTATGCTTGTTCTTTTTCAGAAACCAATAAAGTCCAACATATATAATATGTATTTAATACGCTTTAGTTATTTCAAAGAAAACATTCATCATATTACATAATTGTTCTGTCTGTAATTCTATAATTTTGTAGTAAGAGTAAATTTGTAATACTACTACTAGGTATTTATAATACCCAGAATGGATATTGGATGCGTCAACAAAGCTTCATTTCCAATTTAAAAATCGCATTAAGGCACGGAGATTGCAATTTTACGTCAGCAGGGTCTTTGGTTGTATCCGGACTACCCCAAGCACGTCTATGGGGAAAGCTCAGTCCTGAACCCTTTCGCGTGGCCAGGTGATCGTTGAAAAATATTGGCTCGCCGACGATCCGAACAGAATAAGCGTAGAAGCGAGCAAATTTATCGAATCGATAAGAACTTATATAAACACCGATGAGATGAGAGCGTTTTCCAAAATGGACGACGAATTTGTAACAATGAATGCCAGCTCGAATAAAGCTATGATCGATAGTTTCAATTAGAACTGTTGCGCAGACGTCTTTTGTTAAAACATATCGTTGTTGGTGTGTGAGTATTTATGTGTAAGTATTTCTATAAAGAGAAATAGAATTTATATATAGAAAGGAAAAAGGGGACGAGAAATAGTTATAAAGTGTAATTGTATAATTTGTCTTTTTAATTTTGTAGTTTTACAGTAGCGTATAGATTTCTTAGTACTTTGTTATTGCTGTACATCCGAGTAAATAGTTTTTAGTTGAGATAAAGGAAATACGAATTTCTTTTTATTATTTTATTAATATGAAATAATTTAGAGCGCAATTGCAACGAATAATCCCATGTATGTACGTGGACCGTATCCTATATTTGTTTCTATGAGGCACTCGAAAGTATTTGCTAAGAACTCCAAAACCACGTACGAAGCATTTGCTCATAAAAATAGACTACGATTTTACTCCAGAGAAATGCAATTACATTCTACAGCCGCATCGTTGCAGGCACGAAAAAAAGTGAGATCACAAAAAATCAGATATCATCGTTACGATCACCAAAACCATTTCATCTTAATCGTGTATGACTCATCCTACGTATAAATTAAAACGGGAAAAGGTGAACCAAAGTGGTAATTGCACGTGAAGTTCTTAGAAGTACCACTGCCTAAAAGACTCAGGTACTCAAGAGATCTGGAAGTTTTCCGTTGCAAAAGTCATCTTATTAAATAGAACGGCTTAAAATTCGAGCCATTGCCCGGAGAAGAGAAGAAAGACTAAAAAAAGTTAATGAAAAGAAATAAATTAGAATCGAGGCGACCCGAAGGGCTTAAAGGACACATGGGTAGGGGTAACTATCAGGTGACCGGCAGATGGCGCCGACGCGGTAACTCGGCCATCAGCTAATGGACGCCGTGGGGGTAAGTGCGCAAGCGCTCCGAATCAGTTCGTCACTCGACGACCGACCGCCGACCGGAGGTGTCGTAGTTACTCGTTGTCGTGCAGCAGGGTGGTTCAAATAGTAAAGTGAGTGTATGTGTGTGTGGGTGTGCGCGCGTACACGCTCAGCCGTGAGCGATACGTGGATGAATACATTATAATGTCCGCGTACGTGTCCGTTAAGAGTTTTGAGGATCATCCAATCATAACCAGTGCACCGACATAATAGTGACCGTCGACTGTGAGGCTCGTTGAGTGTTGTTTCATCGTTTCCCATCGTTTCTCAAGGTTTCATGTCCTGTGTCGCATCAGCGACTGTCATCATCGCTATCGTCCGAATCAACGGTGAACGTGAACGCTTAACGCCCGAATTCATTTTGAGAAAACGAACGACAGATTGAGCTTGGTTCTTGAACAGGGAGTCGAAGGTAAGAACCGTAGAAACGTCTTCGCTACAACGATCGATCGCGAAAATCTATGTATACGCGATGGATGTTCTTTCACCTACGCCCGTCTCGCTTCTCGCGACACTTTTCTACTACTGTTTTATCGATTATGCCGTGTCAGTTTGAACTCGCATATCAAAGATATGCGGGGAATATATTGAGAATATTCGCTGGTAAAAGAGGTTACACATTATACTTGGTTTTGGTAAATGACTCCTGTCAACAGTCGCTCGACGACATTTTGTATACATCGCTCACAGTATACCCTTCAGACCGTGCATACGTATCGGTGGTTTGCTTGAATTGTGGCATAAATAGAAAAAATATATATATTTTCCAGAATAATGTGCAGTGGAAAATTATTAATTACTCAATTATTTATCCAGAAGATTATTTTTTTTTACAATTTAGTTACTAATCTATAGATTTTCAGGCTTCTAAGAAAATATTGTTTTTATTGCTCATTACTCTAAGAAAATGTTAAATCCTCCTTTGAATCATAATATTTCTCTTGCCAAATAATTCTATTAGAAAATTTTTGATATTTTTATTCTGGTAAATAGCTCACTCTTAAAATTCATTTTTCCAAATACTCCAAAAGTAACAATCCTTTTTAATTTGTTACGCTTTTAGCAATCCAACGGTAATTTGTACATTTAAACCCCTATACGTATGTTACATGGTGCAACGACTGTGCACTCGAATCGAATAGTAGGTCATAATATCGATAATCATCACTGTAGCACGAATCGAAATACATTCGATTATCACAAATAAATTACACGATATTTCACTAAATACGTCAAAACATCAATCTTAGATATTGACTAAACATATTGAAAATGGAAAAATTCAGTTATACTTGTATAGATTATTGAGGTTACGTTGGGTGGGGAACGATATTTATCCAATTGGAAATCGAAATAGATATTGAAAATGGATATTGCGTCAATTATATTCGAATCGATGATAGATAGAGTTATAAGAGATTTAAGAATCAATTAATAGAAAATTGAAATTTAGTTGGTTAGAGTCACCGTGTAACTCGAACTCGGTTGCTGTTATCGATTACGTGGTGGCTATGTTTTTACGTTCATCTCAAGAATGTACTTGCACACGCAGCGGTATACGTTTCCATGAAATCGCAGTATGTACTCCATTTCCTGCTATACATATCATTCAATTCGGTTTTTATATTCTTTTTCGATTTTTTCTTCTCTAATCATAAAATTATAAATTAAATAGAAAATGAATATAAGAAAAGACTTCCAGTCTAATAATATACATAAATGTATAAAGTTAACCCTAAAAAAGATTAAGAAGGATAATACAAAGTCAAGCGATCTCGGATAAAATTAAGGACGAATTATTGACCTTAAATGAATACATGTTAGTTTTAAAAATAGCTATTGTATTTATCTTATTTCTTCTTCTTTTTTTCTTATTTCAGTTTAATCTAAATTTAGTCGAGTAAATCTACAATAATATAGATTTAGATCTATTTTTGTGTTATAACGTGTCAATCGATAACCGAGCAAAGAAGCGTAATGTTAATTACTAACCTGCTGACTGTTGCGTTTCAGTTTATGAGCGGAGGTGAAATTTTCTTGCTGGTATCTTCCACCAATTTTTACATCCATACGGAACACCACAATACGATTGTACCGAAATTACGTATTTACGGACGTGCAATATATATACTTCTACCTTTCATATATTATTGATATTCCTTTAACAAAAAGATCTGCCTTATTGTATGTTGCAATAACGGAGAATATTCAGTGGAATATTGAACTGATAGCGACGGTTTTTTTTCACCAGTGGCGCTATACGCTGCACAGAATAATTACCGGACCGTTTATTCAAGTAACTTGGATTCTTAACAAATAAAATAAAGAAATTAAAATGCCTTATATAAATTAATATTTTTTATTTTACGCGGTGAATAAGATACACTTTTATAAATAGATGGGTGATTTTGTAATTAAATAAGATGGTAGGTTTTAAGGATAATTTTATTTCTTTGAGAATGAATTTTATAAATTTATTAAAGTCAGAGAAACTTTTTGTTTTTCAGAAAAAGGTAATATACATTGTCTTTTTGTAGTTAAAGTGTCCTACCTAGCATTTCTCCATTTTTCAAGATGTGAAATATTTGAATTTCTCCATAGTTTTTATCTATCAAATAAAGTTATATTATACAGGCTATTTACATATATTTTTAGTCGAATAAAGAGTAATAAAGATGGTACTATGAAAGTAATATTCTATTTTCTTCCGTTCCCAACTGATAGAACGTCCTTAACTAAGGAAGCTAATACATATACATATGCCATTATATGCAAAGGTTAACTATTTCAGTTTAACCAGAAACATTTCGTACAAGATATACTTCTTATTAACAATATTTGTTCGTATATGCATAATATGTGACAGTATCCTTCAAGAAGTTAAACATTAATATTTTCATGATTTTCAGGACGTTTAATCTTTCTCTGATTTTTAGTCGTGCAATTAAACCCATAAAAACGGTTTACAAAGAAACGTGCTCCTGCAGCAAGTACGACGATTTAAATCGTAGCTCATAAAATCGAATGGATGAGATCAGTACTTGTTCAGACTCCGCAAGTGATTCGTGTCACTGCGTAGTCAGTCAACGGTTGCAGTCTTTTTCAATACTCGGCCGTGACTATCGGTTGATCGATAGCGATGATATTGTTATTCTCGTATCAAGGATACTCGTGTTATCAGATATTTGATCCATTTTATTATAAGCATTCAGATGTAAGAAATCATTTTTCTAAATCATCATGTCGCGTTTACAGCGGCGCGGTGTACCCGTTTCATTTAAGCGATGCTTTAAGTTCGAACCAGCATAGCTGCTTGTTTGCATTTCTAAATGGCGCAGTAATTATCGAAGTCAAGGTGCGTCACGAGATTTAAATACGCTTAGAAAAATAAAACCCTTGAAACCTGGAATTAAACATTGAGATTTTTTAAATCCGAGTTCTTTTAATTTCAACGTACGAATTTAGAATTTTTAAAATTGAGAACTGATAGGTAACGTATATATTTCATTAATTGATATATAAATGTCGAAATTTTTCTGTTTACAAAAACGAATTACCATCATGTATCACTGACGTAATTTAAAACCTTACATGGAATTGCGTCACCTCGGAGAGATTTTTCTTCGATTGAAACGTCACTATCGTTTATCCTTCGCGTGAGATAACACCAGAAGGATTTCCATTGGAACCCGCGTAGGAAAATTTTCTTGAAAAAATTCTTCGACGTTTTTTGCTCCTCTGATAGTATGTAATTTCTTTCTTACGAATAAAGTTTATTTTTATTTCATATCATCTCACCTAAAAACAAGAAGGCTAGAATAATTTAAACAGCGCATTAAAGATTATTTTTCTTTATTGTGTTTTACTAGATAGATTAAGAGTTCACTAGATTGATTAACTTTACTGTACGGACTTCAAAGAAGTAACTTCTTGCTTTAAAGCAAACCAATTACTCAGAGAGGATATTTTAAAAATGGATCACAATATTCAGTCGTTAGTACTACGCTTGTATCAAGACCATCTCCTTTCCTTGTTTTTCCAATTCATCTGATCGACCTTTCATTTTCTCGTGGGAAGACCATAAAGTAAGCATCTTTGATGTCGCATCGAGTGGTAATAATACGTTTATTGGCGACGATAATTGTATCTACCATTCGTCGTGATTGAATTACAGGAGAAGGTACTTTGCTCAGGAGCAACTTCTGCTATTTCTTTGCTTTGAATGTATCGTATCGATCCTTGGATACAATGATTCTAACTGTTGTTCCGCTCCGTTTCATAAAGAAAGGAACTTAGCCTGACTATTGGTCTATTGTTGGAATAACGAGGAATACAGTACACGAATTTTTATTTCTAAATCAAACGAAATTTTTATTTCTAAATCATACACTAAAATCGCAGTGTACAATATTTAATAGAATTTATATCCAACATTAAAATTATCTTCACATCTTTGAGTGAAATTTATTAGCCGTTTAAATTTTGATACCCTTGAAAATTAGTTTTATCATCCTCGCTATGATAAGCATAGGGTTGGAATTTAATCTTAATGATGTAGTTATAAATATAGCTTATGTTCGTGCCCTTGAGGTAGAAGTTACACGTTCACTTAATTTCCACGGATAGTCGATCAGGGAGATAAAACTGGTTATATAGATTCTAATGATTTCGAAAACTAATCTTGTACCTAATATGGATTTTTCTGTGCAGCTGAATAGACAAGAGAATATCGATACGTTCGCAGTAGAATGGGTCAGCCATTGATGAGGGACTATATGTACATACTACATCCTATAGTTAGCTAAAAATATGCTTCCCTTGGTTTTGAACACATTTTATTCCTCATTGCACAAACTAATAAAATATATTACATAAAAAAAATATCAGAAATATCAATTAATGAAATTAACAAACGCGCTTAACAATTGCTTAAATTATCGGTTTTTACGTATTTTTATATAGAAAGAAATTTATAATTTATGATACATTTACGTCATTGATATCTAAATACTTTAATATTGATAAGAATCATATGCATTATGAAAGTTATTGTATATTATTTGAACATATTTTGTATTTTAAGTGTAAAGTGAAAAGTTTGTTTTGCAATGTTTCTAGTAAAAAAAGTCAAAAGTAGTGTTTCTAGTAAAAATTCAAGCTATCCAACATAGTTAGTTATGTCTAAAATCGGCATAGTATGCATTGTGATACAGACCAATTTGACATTAGACATCAATGTACAGCAATAGACTTCAAAATTGCTATTAAATTTACTGAACAAAAGCAAGTATTAAATATTTCTTATTTTAAGTAGAGTCTTGAAACTTTATTTGGTATCATGGATTCATTCATACTGAGCTTCTTTTTCAGCAATCATAAAAGTTAATCGGATTTATGGATAAATGATAATCTGTTCTCTTCTTTTGTTCCTGCGCTGATTCGTTTCATGTTTATTGGCCGACTGTTCTGTGTATGGAGGGATAATTACCCACCGATAGACGAACCTTTTGTCGGTGAATATCGATTTTCGACGCCATGCACTATGTAGGTACTAGTTACTCTTGTTGGTGGATAATTGACGCCACGGACTTTATAGCGTCAAGATTCGATTAGGACCTAATGAAATATACCATAATAAATTCAATCAAATTGTTTTGACGTTGACACGTCTATCATCCTTTATTCTGATATCATTTCATCAATATTTAAAGCTTTGTTCCAAATCTTATGAATCGAAGGAGATCATGCACATACGACGTTGTGAAAAGACGTTTACTTGATAAGACAAATATGTCTTCAACTTCGTTCTTATCCTTGTCCGAATTGTATTAATAGAATTCAACTTACACATTATTTATCTTTTCTCTAAATAGTTTTGTTTGATGATATTCTTAGATCTTTAAACATTTTATAATATGTAGTTAAAAAGGGATATGATGGTGAAGAATTTTAATAAAAACAAGTTGTGCTTCTTAAATACGCGCAAAGAGTTGCATAGAATAACACGAATAAAATAATAAAACTGCTTCATGAAAAAATAAATGATACTTTTGTTTCTATTTCTACGCGAAATATCCCACAGCCAGAATTTATACATCTATTAAAAAAAAATTTTAATTACAAACTCTCGTCGTTTCATTCCTCTTCAGCTGTCCCTCCTGAAATATTTAGCGATATAATATCAAATAAGATCATCTCGAAAGAACGTACCGTTACAATTAATCAAGAAGCGCGTGACCGCTACTGAATGGAAGCCTACGATCGTGTCTTTCTTCCGCGATGCCAGTTTCGCTAACGATGCCTTCTTATTTCCACAGAGAAAACGAGGAAAAAGTCAATCGCCAGCACCGCCGCCGTCGTGATCCGACGCTGAATTAAAAACAGACGGAAAATGTCGTCGGTAAAGGTGGCGGTGAGGGTACGGCCCTTCAACAATCGAGAGATCTCCCGTGAGGCACAATGTATCATCGAAATGTCCGGCAATACTACTTGTGAGTATAATTTAATTCCTGTACATTGTCCGTACTTTCGCGCTGTTGTCCGCTCGTATTTCGTCCTCCGTTTCGTTTCTTTCGTCTTTGTATTGTGGTCTGATTATTATTTATTCTCTACCTTTCTTCTTTTTTTAAATAAAAAAATTGTCTTCTACAAAACAAAACAGTTGCCGCGTTTACCACGAGAACAATTGCTTCTAACTATCAAGACATAGATGCATGTTCGTTTTTTCGCCATTGATTTCCCGTTCAATTATCGTAATTGTGTTTGTATAGAACATATAGAACGAAACTCCTTCTGATTAGACAATTGTTTTTCACGAGTGTAAGCCTGTTATTTCATCTGATTTGAAGTCTTTCCTACTGTTTCATGAACCAATATTCTTTGAAACGAAAAGGTAGTTTTTATACATTAACAAATTTAACATTGATTCAACTTGAATCTCAGATGAAGGAAAAATTGACATTATTTTGAAAAATATTACGTAATAATTGGGGCACACACATATTATGTAAATGGGATATTACACCTGGGTTAACATTTTGCATACATGCATAACCACGTCCTTCGATCCTTTTCATTCATTTGAAATCTTCAGTTTAAACAACTTGAACTCAACAAACTTGGCTAATAGCGTGCCTTGTATACACGCGTTGTTTGTTGAAGGGAAAATCTACTTAAATGTCGAGGTGAAAATTCTGGTTCTCTCTTGTAAAAGTTTTTTACTCGATATTTCATGCAATTTCTCGTGCAACTTTAATGTTGCGTCACGAATTGAACGAAGAACTTCGGTTCCTTAAGTCTCGTAAAATGCAAATGGATCGCGGGGGAAGTTTAATATTAGATAAAGTTGAGAGAACACATTGACGTCAGTTCATTGGTGTGTAATGATTTCGTTGTGAAATTTCGATATAGTTAATCAATATTTTTACATGGACATGTAATCCCACGTTCCCGGATTTTGTGTTTTATATATTTATTTTTTCTTTTATATAATCACCTGCAGCTGACCTTATTTGCCCGTGACACGCGTATTAATCTAATTATTTATTTGTCTATCGATTTGTGTGTGCATAATATATGCTACATGTTTATATAGCTTTTGATCAGTACGTACGAATGAGAAAAGTTTATATTTGGAAACTTTCTATTCATTTTTTATGGGTCTTATCCGAGAATCATGTTTAATATACAACGCAGAAAAAGTTGGAAATGAAATAAGAACGAGTAATAAGTTATGACTTCCTTTTGTATTACTAATTTGCTGTTTCGCGTGTTCCAGCGATATTGAATCCCAAAGCACCACCGGGCAGCAAAGATGCGCTCAAGAGCTTCAATTACGATTATTCCTATTTTTCCATGGACGTAAGTATATACCTTTTTCGTTTTATTGAATTTCCGTAAAAATCAATCATTTGTATTGGTGTTCCTTTCATTTCATTGCTCTAAAGATCTATTATAAATATAGCATAAATTCGTTCATTATTAATAAAGTGAATTGTTTTTGCCACGTTACTCTTAATTAAAATTACGGACCAATAACAAGAATCGAACTATTTAAAGAGAGTCTAAATTATATAGGTACTTACAATAACTCCTACTGAGATTAAGATCAAGAAGAAGTTAATAAAAGGACACAAGTTAAACATGTATTCGATAATTTATCGCATTATCGTAAAACCGATATCGGGAACAGATAGTATAAAAACATAATAAATGGACTATATTCTTTATAGCCAAACGACGCAAATTATTCTTCACAACTAATGGTCTACAAGGATATCGGCGAAGAGATGTTGGAGCATGCTTTCGAAGGTGAGCATATACCAAATGGAAAATTTCTGAACGTCTGCACAGATTGATCGAACAATTTCTCAATACTTTAGGCATCGTGTACTCGAATTGTCGCATACCGCGGAATTTACGTCGAGAAACCGAACATGTGGACCCACATACCATCCGGATAGGAATTTAGTCGTTCGAATTCTCATACGATCTTGGCATATATTCACGACATACGAATATATGCTACCGTTAAAAAATTTGAAAACATTATTTTACTGCTTTTTTGAATTTCTTATAAGAAATGATTATTGGAAGGACATCTTGTTATACCTTTTACAATACTCGCAATTTTTAGAAATATGTAGACGCATTACCATTTATGAATATTAGGGATATCTACTCGTTACATTTATTGAACTAAGTTTGGAGAAATTTATAATAAAATAATTAAAAAATAGTGAAAATAGTGAAAATAGTGAAAATTTATTATTTAATATGTATTATCAATTATTCAATTATTCAATTATTCAGTAATTATTCAATTTGCATCAAATATCAGCAGGAGTTTTACTACTTATGACCAACAGTATATGTACGACACGATATAGTTTTAGCTACTAATTTTAATTATTTGAAAATTTAATTAATAATTAATTTGAACAATGACTTTGTTAACACGTAGGTTACAACGTCTGTATATTCGCTTACGGACAGACCGGTGCTGGCAAATCGTACACCATGATGGGTAAACAAGAAGAAGGTCAAGAGGGAATAATACCTCAAATTTGCAAGGACCTCTTTAGAAAAATCAGTCGCAATTCAAATGAGTGCCTGAAGTATTCTGTTGAAGTGAGTTACATGGAAATATACTGCGAAAGGGTGCGGGATCTCTTAAATCCAAAGAACAAAGGAAACCTTCGTGTACGGGAGCATCCTCTGCTTGGACCGTACGTTGAGGACCTGTCCAAATTGGCGGTGATGTCGTATCAAGATATTCATGATCTTATCGATGAAGGAAACAAGGCGAGGTATGCACATTAAATACAAAATTAATGAAATTTAATAATCCAAACTGATTAAAACATCTAATTAATTGAAAGATTAGTATTATACCTTTAATATATAATATATTATAAAAATTGCTATAAAATATATTTGATATTTTATTTCAAAATATTTTATTTCAAAATATTTTATTTCATATATCTTATTTTCTTTTTTCAGAACGGTAGCAGCCACAAATATGAACGAAACGTCTAGCAGATCTCATGCCGTATTTACGATATTCTTCACGCAACAAAAGCAGGATTCTGCAACAGGATTAGTGACAGAAAAAGTCAGCAAAATCTCCCTGGTCGATTTGGCGGGTTCTGAAAGGGCTGATTCTACTGGTGCAAAGGGTACGAGGTTGAAAGAAGGTGCCAATATTAACAAAAGCTTGACGACCCTTGGAAAGGTCATCAGTGCCCTTGCTGAAATTGTAAGCAATATTTTTTACCTATAAGAAAATAATGTATAATGCATAGTAGGAAGACGATTTGAAATTTATATTTCTCGTATGAGGGAACGTAAGATTACGATGAAATTGCTTTTTTATTTTATTGACACAAGTCATATAAAAAATGGATACGTTGTACAATTGGTTGTACAGAAGTTGCACAATTTTATTCTTTCAAAGTTACGTAGATGTTGCCTAAATTTCACATTAACGAAACCCATGTCTTCTGTTTACTCTACTGTCGTTTATGGATTTTTAGGCGGTAAGTTCGTGTATCCATGATCTTTTAACTCACTTATTTAATTTAACAATATTACAAATCAAATGTATCGTAATATTTTTAATTCGTCAAATATGTGATAATTACTTATATTTTGAAATACATTGAATGTTAGTCTGCTAAATTTTTGTATACAAGATGGACAGTGAATGAGTCCTTGTTTTGGTCATCTAGGCGACTAAAAAGAAGAAAAAGGCTGATTTCATCCCCTATAGAGATTCTGTTCTAACGTGGCTTTTGAGAGAAAATCTAGGAGGTAATTCTAAAACAGCAATGATTGCGGCAGTGAGTCCAGCGGACATCAATTACGATGAAACCCTCTCCACCTTACGGTATAGTTACTCATCACCCTTGTAATTTTGCTATTTTCACCTTTATTAACTGATCTTTTTTTCAAGCATTTTTGTTTTCTCAAAAGTCTCACGACGATTCCAGTGCATAGTTATTTAGAGTTGTAAGAATTTTTGGCATCAAAAAATTTAATGAATATGAATAAATCTCCTTTCTTCGATAGTTTATTTGTATAAAATAGCTAACTATATAAAATAACTTGTAATAGGCTGCATGTTTTTTTGTAATTGTTCCCGTTACTATCATATCTACTTTTGTGAATAATTATTTTTATTATTTTTACTTTGGTAAACTACAGATACGCAGACAGAGCGAAACAAATAGTTTGCAAAGCCGTCGTCAACGAAGACGCGAACGCGAAACTTATCAGAGAACTCAAAGAAGAGATTCAAAAATTGCGGGAATTGCTGAAACAAGAGGGTATTGATGTGCAAGAAGGTAAGTTGGCTTTTCACCATATAATATCCGAATTTTAAAGAGTGATGCCCTCTTTCTCTATACAGGCATACAGGCATTTTATGACATTTGAATTTGAAAGTCTAGTAATCTGAGCACATTTGCGTGTGCCTGATAATCTGTCAGGGTTGGTTTGTTACGTTTTCTAATAATTCTATAATGAAAATACTTTTTACGGAAGAGTAATGTTTGAACACTGGTTAAACTGTAAACGAAATATGGTATTTCTTCCATTAGACGATACTCTTTCTTGATCATTGATATTCCTCCCGTGTAAAAAAAGAAAATATGCTATAAATGATTTAATAGGTTGCAAAAATAATTTTTCGCAGTGTTCTACGCGTTTTAGTAAACTTGCTCGTGTAAAAAAGAAAAGAAATATTACTGTAAAAATATATCAAGCTGATGGAAAGGACAAACGATGATAAACAAAAAGATATAGAGAGAAATAAAAAATAAGGAGAAACAAATTGTAAAAAAGTAGTGCGCGGTAGACAAGCCACCATTTACATAGTACATTTTTTTTCTTTGTTTCCCCTGTGCTTGACGTAGGGCCAGATGGTAAAGTCACATATGAAAAGAAAGAATCTAGTAAGTAAAATAACCGACAATCCACACAACGAAAAGTCTTATAAAAGCCAGACAATCGATCACTCTTCTGCGCCTGTTCTTTGAACGTCCGCTTCATTCACGGCCAAGTGCATAATGCGTGTCATCTATCTATCTATTTCTATCTCTCTGTGTTTTTGTCGATTTTCCGACAAAATTCTCTTTACATATGCTTCGCGATACGCATTCTGTTTTTTCCTTTAACATATATATATAACCCTGTGACAACCAGTGCCTAATGATTATCATTGTTCCTGCCTCTCGTAGGCTGCATAATTAGCGGCTTTTAGCGTTCCTCGTTAAAAAAAATATAAGAATGAACATGAATAATAGAGAAAGGACACATCGTATGGTTGCATAGAACGCAACATTCTTGTGTATTTTATAAACCAACGTTAAATTAAACCAATGTACAATCGAGTCACTCAGATGGATTTTTCGGTGCAGTATTTTAGTAAGCAGCATATGAGGATAAACGGATATCTTGATCCTTGTTACAATTAATCATTCGTTACGATATTACCATATTTTTTGGATTACAATAGATTGTTGTAACTAACCGATAAAAACCAATCGTTACAAGTAATTCGATATTGATCGGAAATTCAGAAAGGTAGCATTTCCTCTAAGATAAACTTCTAAGTAGATTGTGGATGTTGATGGAAATTCATACTTTTATAAACACAAATAAAGAAATAAAAATTAAATGAGGATTTTTGTATATTATATACATTCTGTATGTTTTTGCACTTTTAAATATATAAACATCTGTAGTATAGTTATAAGGAAAAAATAGTCATATAAAATGTAACTGATTGTGTTATGAGCCGAACAATTTGATTGAGATCAATGTATCATCGTCATCATAATATCATTCTTTAGAAAAATCTTGTTAGCGTCTTCGAGAGAATCTTAAATGATATGTAAACATGTAATTACAATTCATTTCGCGTCGAGCGGCCACATATGAATTCAGGCTTTATAGTTTTCCATTGTGTCAGAATTCCTCTCCAGTAAACACGTGTTGTTTGCCTCGCTTATTATCCACTTAGATCCATCACTTTGTTCCCGAACCAGCCTAAAGGTATTGCATGGCACTCGACAATGAACATCTCGAACGCATCTCGGACGCAGTGACACGAGCACCGTTTACTAGACTTCAACCAAAGTTTAATGAACATTGTAGCTGGATAGCAATATTTGATTGAGCGCTGCGCTTGATTTGCATAAATATATACGGATCGTTTGTATTTGTCATCTTTACAGTATTGTATGCCACGAAGATATTTTTTATTCTCAAAAATTTGTGAAGTATGCAATCTCAATTTTATAATCAGAGATTTCACATTGAATTTCATCCCTAATTTCTTTTAAGATAGAACGTTGTTTTATATGCGATAATCAAAATAAGAAAATGAATTTTTAATATTTTGTAAAATTTAATCCTTTGGTATTTCATAAGAAAAAAGATATAAGTTTTAATGTGTTAATTTTCATGTACGTGAATAACTTTGAAACAACTTTCTTTTATATACAACATATATTATTATTCAAAGAAGTTCTCTGTTCAATGAAATAATATAATAACAGCTTTTATTCATGAAGGAGAATGTCTAAATTACATGTTCTATTTCCTGTTTTTTCTAAAGAACATTTTTCATTGTGATACGGATCATGGGACAGATCTTGGCAAAAATTTTCTCTTTCACTTACGCCACTGCTTTAGTTATGGCTTTTGATGTTTCCGAGACGCGTGTTATACCCCTGGCTGAGACTCGCCATTCTAAATTCAACCCCTTATACTTTCTGTATTTTTATTTGATTCTATTTATCTCACAGGGGATGAAATCGTCCGAGCAACCAAACGCGAGGACGACGTGAAGGAAAGTCGGCCCAGAATCGCATCTCACACCACATCGACTATCGCTGAAGAAGCAGTGGATCAATTGCAAGCTTCAGAAAAACTTATAGCCGGTAAATGAAATATTAATTTTTTTAACAAACTACATACACGAAAATAAATTCTATGGTTAGATAAATATTTTTTTAAAGTTAAAAAAGAACGCTATTGGAAACAATTATGTATATATATAACACTAAACGAAATGATAAAAATTAGGAGCATACGAAATTTGCTGTCATTTACTTCTCAGAATTGAATGAAACATGGGAAGAGAAGCTGAAACGAACCGAGATAATTCGTTTACAACGCGAGGCAGTGTTCGCCGAAATGGGGGTTGCTGTGAAAGAGGATGGAGTCACGGTTGGTGTATTCTCTCCAAAAAAGACTCCTCACTTGGTGAATCTGAATGAGGATCCGCTCATGTCCGAGTGTTTGATTTACTACATCAAGGATGGCTTCACACGTATCGGTAGCGCCGAAGCTAACATACCGCAAGATATACAGTTATGTGGTCCTCACATACTGAGCGAGCATTGCGTCTTCGAGAATCACGAGGGTATTATTACCCTGATTCCGAAGAAAGGAGCTTTAATTTACGTTAATGGACGTGAGGTCACTGAACCGATCGTTCTGAAGACCGGATCTCGCGTCATCTTAGGAAAGAATCATGTGTTCAGATTCAATCATCCTGATCAAGGTAAGTAGTGTATATACTTTGTTCTATGTTTAACCCCTTACACTCGATACCATTTATACCTAAATGCCCCCAGTAAGAATAAGCTTCGTACAAGCATGGAAGACTGGGCATTAAATTTAAATTTGACTACGTACGGCAAGAATGTGTATTGTGCGTGTGTAATCTTTAAGAGTGCGATATGATTGGCAGATGGAAGTTATGTGTGAACTGTTGAAAGATTCAGAACTGAAAAAGTTGTTCTAAGAGTTATTCTTATTACATTCTTTATTTCTATCTTATTACTAAATATAGCTTTATCTACGTTATCTTATATTTAATGAGGAGAGACCCGCCTATAACCCAACATGTCTACAATGATATTATGTGAAAAAAGATATTTTGTTGACTGCGCAGTCCGTGAACGAAGAGAGAAGGGATCTCCCGCAGAAACTCCTGGAAATGGAGAAACAGTCGACTGGAACTTTGCACAGATTGAATTGTTGGAAAAACAAGGAATTGATCTAAAAGCTGAGATGGAGAAGAGATTATTAGCTTTGGAAGAACAATTCCGTAAAGAGAAGGAAGAGGCGGACCAATTGTTCGAAGAGCAAAGAAAGGTAAGTACAACTAATATTTTATAAACTAATGGATACTCAATGTGAATATTCATACATATGGTTTCTTGTATTTTTACGTAGAACTACGAGGCTCGAATAGACGCACTGCAACGACAGGTTGAGGAACAAAGCATGACGATGTCAATGTACAGCAGTTATACCCCCGAAGACTTTAACAATATCGAGGAAGATATTTTCGGTGAGTACACATATTGAATGGTTTTTAAAGTTATGATATAGCATATTCTGACTTTTTACAATTATTGAAATTCACGTAAGCAAGATAGTATAAGATCAACAATTATGGCTTGAACTATCATAATTTCAAGCCAGTGATCTTTGATCAAACATTTTTCACAGTTCTGTATACGAATGAGGAATGATCACATATGTAATAGATCGTTATATTCCTTTCGTTAAAAGGTTTGAATTTGTAATGGACTCACCTATAGTTTATATCGTAAACTTTTTTAGAAAAGTCTAACTAAAGGGGCATACACCGTTGTCCGTCATATAATTTCAATTTCATTCCATTACAAATTTTATCATTGTACGGATCTGTGAGACGATCAGATGGTGGTACGTAACGAATTGTTAATAATATGTTCTCTGAATGTACGTTGATTGTTCGATTTTGTCTTTCAATTAACTTGCGATGCACGCATGTAGTTAACCGGTATGACATCACTATATTTCTTTTGTGCTCCTGAAATTTTTACTTTTTCCCCATTATTAAAAAGTTGTTGGCAGTCTCGAGGTATGTTTCTTAGAAAGATCGCTTGTCGCAAAATGAAATGGTGTATCATCTGATCGTGGACAGAACGCCAGTCGCTTCTTTTAACGAAGGAACCAGTATCCACGAAATGCTTGGCTTCTCTGACTGTTTTGCCTGGTAATGGCTTGCATTTCAGTCAACCCCTTGTTTGACGCAGAGAGCAACTGGACCGAGAGAGAGTTCCAACTGGCCGCTTGGGCCTTCCGCAAGTGGAAATATCATCAATTCACAAGTCTTCGGGATGATCTATGGGGCAACGCTATATTCCTCAAAGAAGCTAACGCTATTTCTGTCGAACTCAAAAAGAAGGTACATCCGTGGTTCATTCTTCGATGAACTAACGAAAACTCAAACCTTTATACGGCTCTTTCTTGATTATGAATCATCAACATTCATATCTTTCATCATATCTTTTGACATTCTTTCAAGAGCCATCATAAACATTTGATCAGTTTCACAAAGATAATCAAATATTTCAAAATAAATTATTCGAAAAAAGCTTTTTGTTAATCAGTCATCGGTCATAATATTAATTTAAGCCTGAATTACTGAAACTTAACAGATTTTCAAATTTCACAATTAATGCACTTTTGCGTACCCCCTTTTTGACGTTCTAATAGTCAAAAAAATACTTTGTATTCGCAAGTAATGACTTTATATTCCCATATCGATCCCTTTGTTGATCTAATTGTTTAATCTTTTATTCATCACTGATATTTTGTTTTATTAATTCCATCCGCTTGTTTCGTACCTCACCATCACTTTTATAATTTAACATTTCATTGGTCGTTTCATTTTTTCACAACGGTACATCTTTATGTTTATTCCAGGCGATAAAAGCTTTTTCTACTTTTGCTTCATAAATATCATATATATCCTTTTTAGGTACAATTCCAGTTTACTTTGCTCACGGATACGCTTTACTCGCCGCTTCCTTCGGATCTCTTACCTGTCATTGACGACGAGGAAGAAGAAGAAAGGCCATTCCCGCGTACTATAGTTGCTGTAGAAGTTCAAGACACGAAGAATGGCGCGACACATTACTGGACACTCGATAAACTTAGGTGTGTTACATTTTATTTGACATTTCATTTCTTGAACATGCTTTACCTTATCATTTTATGTTTATATATACAGGGTGAGTCACATAATTTATTTCAAACTCTAGTACATATCTCTCGAGTAAAACGAGATATCAGAAAGCTTTCTTATTGCCACCTTTCTTCTTATTGCCATTATTTGTACCGAATATGATAGCTACCAGCTATTTTACAATCTCATTTCTTTTTTCTAATGTCAGTATCAAATGCGAAAAAATAAAATATCGTTCCTTTATCGATTTCTTTATTCTCGGCCATACGATCAGAATCGGTGTGTTGGCAGCACTTTAAATTCGTCGTACGATCGAATAGTGAGTCGATTAAAGAACTGATAAGAGTGCGGATTCGCGGATCAAGATCTACCATCGCTTTTAATTAGATGCGTGCTTGGATGAAACCGCACAGGGACACTCACGCAAGTAATACGTGTTAACTTATAGACAGCGCTTGGAGTTGATGCGACACGTGTACAACGAGGACTCGAGCCCCAGCACTCCGGAGGCCAAAGAGGATATTTTCCAATGTCTAACCGCCTACTCTAATCCGAAGTTCTCGCTCGCAAATCTTTTGCCTTCGAGGTTGGTGCTCGAACGCGTGAGACTCTTTCCTCTTTATCGTCACACGCTTCACGCCCATCCTCTAACTCTGTTAAATTTTTTATATATACGAATATGTGCAAAATGTCGGTCTTAATCTCGTCTTATCACCGTATTTCTGCTACGTCTCAGTACACTGTCTGTTTGATTTAAACAGTTTCTCTATTCTTCCTCTCTTCCTTACCAACGAAATATACTTTCGCTTTGCAATTGTGCTAAATTCAACGAAAATGTACATTGATCAAGGATCTCTGCATGGCCAAGCGTGTTTAGTCTGTTTGATATTAACAATCGGAGCGGAATTAACCCCTCCGTATATTTTACAAAATTCTTTTATCTTATTTTGCATCTTATTTTTTAGTATATTTACATTTTTCTCTTTTATTTCCTCTTTAGGCAGTCTAGAGTTTCGTTGTACCAGTTTCAACGATTAGAATAAAATGAGAGAAATAGTCTGTATATTCTACATATTGACTAAAGAAATCTATAATCAAATTTATTAGATTGGCATTAACTGAAAATTAGTCGAAGGGTTTAACTCCTGTACACGTTTCAATTGCGTCCCGCTGAACACGTGCGCTCCTTGCTGCTGAAGTTTTCTCACATTATCGCTTCGTGACTTCACCGTGCACGTGTCACTGCGAATTACACGAAACTATGATTAAACAACTATGATCGAACAATTTTGACAAAAATCATATAGAATATTCTAGCTGTTCTATATCATCGTAACTCGTAACGTAACTCTTTCTTACTATGAAAATACAGGGACAGCAGAAGTATGTAAAATGTTGTCCTTAATATATCAACTTTATTACTTAGATGAAATAGAACTTGCATTTTTACGAAAATTTCAGTCACCGTTTAAGAAAAATAAAAGACACTAAAATTCTCATGTTATGTCCCTTTATTTGAACATCTACAATATCTGTCATACCACTTTCGAATACATCCGAACACAACACCACGCATACGGTGTAGTATTATGTACAGAGTGTCCTTCACTGTGCTTCTCGACAATGTTTGATTACGTTTTTATCTTATGGCTAAGAAAAATATGAACCGATTAACAACGGAGATTCGACGTTTTCGCTTTTGTGCAGACAAAGACTTGAACTGATGCGAGAAATGTATCACAACGAGGCAGAATTGTCGCCGACATCCCCGGATTTTAATATCGAGTCCATCACTGGAGGTGATCCATTCTACGACCGTTTTCCCTGGTTCCGAATGGTTGGCAGGTTCGTAAGAAACCTTTTTAAACATCAAACATTTCCAAAATCTATGCTTTACATTATCTTTTTTATAAATGTTTAACAATCTAGCTGACAGATGAAACGAATCTTCATAAACTTTCTTTTGAGACAGTGAAGAGTACATTTTACAAAGTAACCATTACCAAAAATTGTATTTTATAAATATTTAACGACCTAGTTGATAAATGAACCAAATATTTTAATGAACTTTGTTCATATGAATTATTTATTAATTAATATGAAATATTTTGAGTTGTATTTGTAGTGTCGAAGCATTTTGACGTTTATGGCCCTATAAAAAAACGTTGGTAATAAATGTACAATTTGTTTGTTGCCATAGGTCTTTCGTATATCTAAGCAATCTTATGTATCCCGTACCATTGATCCACAAAGTAGCGATAGTAAACGAAAAGGGAGACGTAAAAGGCTACTTGCGTGTAGCTGTGCAAGCTGTTGTTGGTACGTAATCAGTGTCTGTATATTTTCTTTTATTATCTCCTACCTTAAGTTTATTTAACTCCTTTATTTCCTCTGATGGGGGAAATTAAATACATATTATGTGACTGATTAGGCGATCTTAAGTTAACCGCATCGTTGAAATGCGTATACCTCCATGTATATTACCAGTAATACAATTGATTGCGAAACAATGTCGATACAATGAAATTAGACAACAGTTCCACCAATTATTTCAGAAGTAATTAAAGAAGTAATTAAAATTACGTTATCGTCATATAATTTTACTGTTGTATCGTTTCCTTGCTCTGTGGATTAAAATATTTATACGCGTACACTATTGTTCATATAAATTTAAACTTAGTATTTAAAAGATGTTAGAATAATATATTTTACTATTCGCCACATATACACATTTAAATAAGTAAATATATATACATAATATATTTTACATACTATTCAATACATACGCTTATTACTTGGATATCACTGCTTGTATTAAATATCAGAAGTCTTTACGTCAGTTTATATCAGTCATAATGAGAAATTTATTGCACGCGATCGATAAGAACACGAAACGCGTTATATTTTGTGGAAAAAGTATTCTGGCGTAGGATTTTCGTAACGAACCCTTGTTCCAGAAGAGGAAAACAGTGAATACTCAAGTGGCGTCAGACAGTCAGCTAGAATTTCTTTCGAGGACGACTTGTTTGGAAATCAAAAACAGAACAAACGCAACACTCTGTTAACCCAGACTCTTGAGAAGAACCGTCAAATTCTGTTACACGAGGAACGCGTCGTGGAGGGTCACAACGAGCAAAAGGAGGTGAAAGACGAAGACGATATCGGCGATGCAGACAGTGGCAGAGGGGATAGCTCAGTTTCCAGCGACATGAAGGAAGAGGATCTACCGGATCATTTGCAACTTGGCTCTGAATTCACATTCAGGGTTACCGTGTTACAGGCCATGGGCATTTCCACCGAATATGCTGACATTTTTTGCCAATTCAAGTACGTTTAGTTTGATATAATACAATAATAAAGATATTTTATGTAAGAAATTGATAGTTAATGTATGATTATGATGCGTTACATCTAGTTTCTTGCACCGACACGATGAAGCATTTTCAACTGAGCCAGTAAAAAATACAGGAAAAGGATGTCCTCCTGGATTTTATCACGTACAAAATGTAAGCTACATTTACATTAAAATAAAAAATAAAAAATAATTTGCATTAAATAAAAAAAAAGAAATAATTTATATATGATCAACTTCGATTATGTATTTCTTTATTCTTTTTTCTCGTATACTGTTCAGATCACGGTGACGGTAACAAAATCATTCTTGGAATATCTAAAAACTCAGCCAATCGTTTTCGAAGTTTTTGGACACTATCAGCAACATCCTCTGCATAAAGATGCAAAACTGGAATAGTAAGCATTAAATAATATCTATGAAATCTATCAGTTCGACAAGATATTGTCTTCTTTAATCTTTAAGATGATTAGTTATAACGATTTGGTAAGATATTATTGTCTTTCTTAAATCACGAATAAACTCAGTTGCATTGTATTTCATAGCGTAAGACAACCACCGAAGAGAATGCTTCCGCCATCTATACCTATCAGTCAACCCGTACGTTCACCGAAATTCGGCAGTGTTTTACCATCTCCGAGCACGTCACACGTGCACGCGAAATACGATGTATTAGTTTGGTTTGAGATTTGCGAGTTAGCGCCGAACGGTGAATACGTACCATCCGTGGTCGACCATAGCGACGATCTACCGTGTCGTGGATTGTTTTTGCTCCATCAGGGAATCCAGCGTCGGATTCGAATTACCATTGTACACGAACCAGCGTCTGAGCTGCGATGGAAAGATGTGAGAGAGTTGGTCGTCGGACGTATTAGAAACACGCCAGAACCAGAGGAAGAGGACAATGATTCGTCGGTGCTTTCGTTAGGGCTTTTCCCTGGCGAATATCTAGAAGTACCTGGTGATGATAGATGCATGTTCAGATTCGAGGCAGCGTGGGATAGTTCTCTTCATAATTCGGCCTTGCTCAATAGAGTTACAGCTTACGGAGAACAAATCTTCATGACAATTTCTGCTTACCTCGAGGTACGCTTACTTTTTATTTGAATGTTTTGTATTATATATTTATTAGAGATTTAATCATAGATTATGCGTTGTATATTTAATAGAGATTAAATGCCTCCATAAGATTCGTTCTCTGATTTATTTCTTTATATCATTTCTTTTAGTTGGAGAATTGTGGAAGACCAGCGATCATCACGAAAGACTTGAGTATGATCATTTATGGCAGAGACGCCAGAGTAGGGCCACGTTCTCTGAAGCATCTATTCAGCGGAAGCTACCGCAATCAAGAAGCAAACAGACTCAGTGGTGTTTACGAGCTGGTCTTGCGTCGTTCTTCGGAAGCAGGTAGCCCAGGTTTGTCTTGCTACCCTTAGCGTAGACCCCTCTTGATCCTTTCCCTCCTTGTCGATATAATAGTCGCACAAATTTAGAGAAAGGGGATATTTTGTTAGAAAGATGTTACTACATTATTAGATTATATAATAATAAGCTGCGGTGACAATCACGATGACTATTATATCATGTTATTAACGAATTGGCAATTTTCTTCGTTATGTTTTATTCCTTCTTAAATTATTTCGACAAAGAAATTTCCAATCTTGGCCAAGACGAAACATATTCATACTTCTTTTTAACATTTCGCTTTTCCCACATTCAGTACCCACCCCACTTTTGCAATTGTCTTTTGCAGGCGTTCAGAGGAGACAACGGCGTGTATTGGACACCAGCTCTACGTATGTTAGAGGAGAGGAAAATCTTCATGGATGGAGACCACGGGGAGATAGCTTAATATTCGATCACCAATGGGAGTTAGAAAAATTGACAAGATTGGAAGAGGTGGAGAGAGTAAGACACACGCTATTATTACGAGAAAAGCTCGGTATCGACAAAGTGTCATTCTGCAATAAAATATCTCATGATTTCACAAAGAGTGAGAAGGTAAAGTATCTTATATTTTTAGTCTTATAAAGATCTAAGAATCTTTATATAATATTTAAGCATTTGAGTAGAGGTGAAGAAAAGTTAAGCAAACGAGATACATCCATTATGTTTATTCAATACAGGAGGTCTGCAACATGATGGCGAAAGCGACGAATGAAACGCATGCCAGCCCGGTGAAATTGAAGCGTTCAACTAGTAAAGACGTTTACGAGCCTTGGGAGATGACCGAAAGAGAAAAAGAACTAGCCACAAAGTATATCAAACTTATTCAAGGTCGCATTCCAAGCAAAGAACCCATTCTATTGTCCGACGTTTCACCCGGAGAAGACACTATGGCCGATATGACGGCATCTATGATATCTTCGGTGATATCATCCTCGTCCCAAGAGTCAGTATACGAGAGAGCTAGTGATTACTTAGAGCAGGTAACCCTCCCCGCATGCCTGAGTGCTCCTGCTAGTAGCGGTTGTCCACGCTTCGTCGCATCATCGTATTTTTATCTCGATGGCAAAAATAGATATCTGTTTTTCGAGATTCAAAGAAAAACGATACTCTCTTTCTTCATTCACATTATTATCGGTCATAATTTAATGCCAATAAAATGTAAATTAAAAGTGTAAAATTAAAAACTGGATAACTAATATCTCGAAATGAAAAACAAAAATATTTCTTAACAATTATGAGTGAAGATTGCGAGAATTCGATTCAATTTGAAGGTCGACTTGTCTCTTCCACATACGAGCTTGCAACAAACTCAATGAAATTATTGTATCAGATCGAAGTTCGATTCACGTTCGCTTTTAAGAACGATCAATAATCGTTTGTTACGCAACGTTTCGAGTAGCTTCGCTGAGTGAAAGTCGCGCTTTTAGCGCAATCAGCTTCTAAGAATCGCTTTCTGTCTACTTTGAAACACAACAATTGGTAGACGATGACTCGAGATTTTCGAGTCAAAGACAACCGCAAGTAAAATTGGACACGGTCAGGGTGATGCTGGAGTGTTACTTGCAGGCTGCTGGTATAATAGTATGGAGCAGATCTAAGTCGTGCATCCTTAGGTTAAGTTCACCGGAGAGAGCTAGACTGCAGGAACTGCAGGAGAGTATATTAGCCAGTGAATCCGCTAATCAACCGTGTACAATCGCACCGGCTCCATTGGGTTCATCTTCCCCATCGAAGGAGAATTTGGTACTCTACGTGCCGGAAGTCGAAGAAATTCGCATCAGTCCGGTTATTGCCAGAAAAGGATACCTAAATGTTCTCGAACACAAGACTAATGGTTGGAAGAAACGTTGGGTGGTATGTATATCTCGAATACAGTATTTTTATTTCTCCGTTTTTAGAATTGTTTGATATACTAAAAATATCATTGATTATTAGGCTGTACGACGACCATACGTTTTAATCTTTCGGGAAGAAAAAGACCCAGTGGAGAGAGCTCTCATTAATTTAGCTACTGCTCAAGTTGAATATTCTGAAGATCAATTAGCTATGGTGAAAGTACCAAATACTTTCAGGTGAGTTATATAAAGTTATTTACATGTGGATTTAATCCGTTTTAGACATCTCAAATCGGCATTCTTTATTTTACAGCGTCGTTACAAAACATCGAGGATATTTACTGCAAACTTTAGGAGATAAGGAGGTTTATGACTGGCTGTACGCTATTAATCCTCTTCTTGCTGGTCAAATCAGGTAAGGTTGTTCATTTGAAATTATATTTAAAAAAGTCTATAATCCGATACGTTTATATGAACAAATAAAGATTTTAGGTTTTGAGAGTATTTATAGATTTGTATCACAACATATAATTCATAAAAATTTATTTATAACGTTAATAAATTTCACTAACGAAATATACTTTCAATTGTTACAGGTCAAAACTAGCACGCAAGGGGCCAGCTACAAATCTGAATAACGCTTCGCCTGTTGGTCTAGTCCCGCCCATAGATCAACAGTCGAACCAAAATAAGTGAGTGGCCGACACGTTGGCCGAGGTAACGAGCGTCATTGCAAAAGCCTCCGAAAAGGTGCTTTGCTGGTCGCACTCGGCCTTCGAGTCTCATGATCTCTGTAGCTTTCGATTTTCGGTAGTTTTCGATTATTAAAACGCCTCGAAAAATGCGTACTAACGATTGACTACCAGCTTCGGTAGCCGCCGATTAATATCTCGTGACATCTGATTTAACTACCCGTCAGCCCTTTTACTCCTGGCGACCGAATAGAGAAATGAAAATCGGAACGACTCTTAAATGCAAGGGCATGTTTATCCTTTGACAAAAAAAGAAAAAATGGTTATACGTGTTCGAATTATTGACATTATTACTTTCGGAATCGCAAATACTCCTTCAATGGTCTCTCCGTTCATTTTGATACACGATCAAAATGTACAATAACGTTGATGAGACATCACCACGAGCTCGCGATACCTATCTTATAATATATTCGAATTTCTCGATATTAGTCGGTCGTACGAAGCGATTCTCTTTTAAGCGTGGAACGCATACAGTGAAGAGCAACGTATTTATGCCTAAATAAAACATTCCTAAGACGATCATAGAAAACGAGGCAAGAGAATACACATTGTAGGTATACTCATTAAAGAGAAGATGTGGCGCGAGAGGAAGCAAGAAAGAGAGGGAGAGAACGAGAGAGAGAGAAATAGGGAAAAGGCGATGTAGTGAAATTATGAATTTTTGAGTGTTTATGTCTGGAAGAAAGAGAGAAAAAGAGAACGAAAGGAAGAAGAGAACAGGAATTAAGGAAAGAGAGAAATAAGAGATTCTACACCAAGAAGGGTGCAGATGATTTCGAACGCGAATTCTAAACGGTAATCGTTGAACAATTCATTGTTAGTAATTCGTTTATGTAATTCTGTTTGTCTATTATGACCGTTATCGAAATAATCCTTTTTCCTCTTGTTTCGTGTTGCTGTAGTATTAACCATTTTACACCTCGAATAACGAATACTTGAGTCATAAGTAGAATATCGAGGTCACAACAAATTTCACTCAAATTTGTACTTTTACTGTATAGACCAGTATTCAAACATAAAGATCGAGGTAAACATTTTTCTGTCTCAACAGAGAAACTTCGTAATAACAATACGGATAATTTGCAGTATTATTTAGACGAAACGTCGAGTCAGGTATATTTTTAATTCAGTACAAACGTTCGTTAAAACTTTTATGTCAGTGTTAGTTACTGGCATAATCCTTATTATCATTTAAGAAATATTTTTCTTCGTTGATTTCAGTTATATTCAAATTTTTCTATCGATCTTACCTAACCGAGTTATCAGTGAAAAGCGATTACCAATATATTCTGTTGAACGGCAGATAAAATGGAAAATTTGTAAGCGGATTATTTTCTCGGTTGTTTGTACGCGGAGATTCACACAAAAGTGAGCCCCGCTTCTGTTACCGTTTTTGCTTACTATACTGTTGTAGAGTCTGATAGTTTTATTTTGTTAACGAGGACGTACGTGTCGATGAAGAACAAGAAACCGTACTTTAATAAGTTATATACGCACTCAGCTTTTTTAACCCTTTGAAGCAAAAATTTAGGTGAAACGAACCGATAGTATCGACATTAATCATTTTTCTTTTATATACATGAATTTTATTGCTCAGTACATATTAGCTTTAATTATTTATTTTAATTTATGTTATACTTTTACAACCATATAGTAGTAATCAAATTGCAATTACACACCCCAATTTAAGGGATAGACTGATTATTTATTACTTTTTAATTGAAATTGTAAATGTATTTAATTAATATTGCCAAGTATATAATATATATATTTCACAATTGAAAATTTGTGTGTAGTTATGAAACAGCCTGAAATACGAGAATTTAGTAGGTAATCAATTTTGATTATTTATTTATTAGTGGAAATTTGAATTAAACCGTACAATAAAATGAACGAATTGATGGGCAGAATTACCGCGATAAAATTAATTATTTGATTACGTCGTGTTTCAGTACATCCCCAAAAAATTATATTTCATTTTCCCTAGTATAACAATAGGAGTGCAATGTTGGTTAATTCTTAAAGTTAAATGATTTTTCATCCTTCAAAATGTATGAAAAACTCTGTACAATATTAAAGTTTTTTAATTAACCTTCTTTTTTATCAAAAGGTGATATTTAGTATTGTTAGATTGTTGCTTATGTCTAATAATATATCAAAGAGACTCCAAATCCTGTTTAAAATGGGAATGGTAGAATCCATGTAACATAAATATAGAAAATAAATATAAGAAATGTAATATTCATAATATTAATTCTTGAAAGCAAGCACATTAAAAATCTGAACTGGAGAATGCAAAAAGTGTACTCTCTCTCTCTATTGCTATTTTCTAAGATGTTTATTGTATATCTACAGAATAACTGTACTTACAGACTTAGGATTAAAATAAAGGTTTACGACATGCGCTTTTACACAATAAAATAAAAAATAAACAATGCATAATTCAGATATTCATTCATTTTTTTTTAACATGTAAGAAGACATCTATGAATTGTACAAGAGCATAATACGTATATGTATGCATAATGTATTTATGAATATTACCTACGATACGTAGCATTTATATTTTAATCGTGTTATTTACGCATAATTTATTTGTTATACTATATATGACAAACAACTGTGCATGTAAGTAAATAAAACGAAAAGAAAAGTATTGCTTCAGGGGGTTAAAGACATAATTTATTACTACGTAAAGAAGGAAAAGAAATTGAATATTAAGCATGGAGTAGACAAATAAAAAATTAATTAAAGGAAAATAGGACAAGTGAGCAGAAAGAAAAATGATACGAGCGTTGTGAATAAAAATACAGGAACGCTGTCGATAAGATTAATAATCATTGTTGTTATTAAAAGACAAAATGCGGAATTAAAGGGAGACGAGAGAAGAGAAAGGGAAGAACTAAAGGGGAGAGAATGGAGAAGCGCGTGTGCGCGAGAGAGAGTGAGTGCGAAAGAGATAGCGCGAAAGACATGTTTGCTTATATATATAAGGTATATATATATATATACCTTATATATAAAGTATATTATATAAATATATAAATAAATTTAATATTAACATAAGCATTTTGTCAAATGTCAAAGACCATCTGGAGGCATACGATAAAAAGGCTAACGATGATTTGATCTGTACCAAGTATGTAAGTTCATGTACTTACTTGTTTGTAAGGTAACTAAAAACTCTATTGCAAAAACGTTTTCGTTTTTGATCGTTTGCTATGGAAAAAGACATGCATCGATGCTGTAACTTGTATTTATTATTATTATAATTATTCGATTTTCGCTAGACTCACTGTAAGTGGTAACGTGTAATAAATCGGTCAATAAAAAGCTTACATGCTTAATGAATTCCTTTTGTGACATATCCTTATGTTAAATTTGACATTAAAGGTAAAATTTGCTTTTTCGTTCCTTAAATGGATACAAAAAAAAAATCAATAAAATATTATTTAATCATTAAAAATTCCTGTAATTAGCAACGAATTCATCAAAAGAATTTTTAAATCTTTCTTTATCTCTACAAACATATTTCCAGAGAAAATTTATATGTTCAGTCAACTTTTTAAAAGCGTTGGCTAATCTATGCGCAACTTGTTCATTTGATTGAGTGGGTAGAAGATTTTGTACAATCTGGTTATATTTGTCTTGATAACAACATATCAAATAATAAATAGATATGCACACTTTCGATATAAAATATGAGTCAACTTGACGTGTTAAAATAACAGTAATTACTAACTGAAAAAGAGACATTAATTAGAACAAAATTATATATAACTTAATAGTAATATTACTTTGAAAAATAGGTTACATTTAAGAATGGTGCCATTATTTCACTTTTTGGACGGCCGTTTTGCATATTTTCAAAAATCTGTTATTAAAATTTCAATCATATTACAACACAACATAGATACATCATGACTAAATGAGAATAAACCCAATTCTATCGATGTTAAAAGTGATTGTCGGGCAGTAAATCAAACACTTTTTGAAGATTATCCTTACAAAATGTATTTTAATTTAATTAGAATAGTTTCACAATGATTTTGATACAATAATAAATAATGGTAACTTACTTACTAATGGTAAACACAAATTAAAAACACAATTTAAATAAATTTATACAATAATTGTATGTAAACTGATTAATGACATAAAAATCAATCAGTATATTGTAAAATGTTAATAAAATTGCAGTGCATTTACAAAGTGCATTGCAGTGCAAAGAAAAGAACAAAAAGAATACCTTTTTAATGATTGCAAATGAAGATTATGATGATTTAAGATAATGAATTTGAAAGTTAAATTATGTAATATAATGAATGTACATAATAAATATGATATGTATAAAGAATTTTTTTATCTCAAGCTTGTGATCATATACTTTTTTCATATTTTTATTAAAGATTTATACGTTTTAGAAATCAGTAATTGTCTAAATACATGTTTAAATACATAATGCAATTTTGTATAAAATTATTTACAATATCGATCTGCCTTCATCTTGCTTCTTCTATCCAATAAAGCTTCATGTAAAGTTCCTTCTCGTTTTGCTTTCTCTAGTTTAGAACTATCCTCTTTACTTATTCTTAATTTTTTGTCCTGGAATTTCTGGAACTTTCTCCTATAATATTGCCGATATATTATGTTTCTTATATTATATTGAAAACAACTTTTCATATAAAATTTATACTACTTACACATAATTCACTTCAACATCATGAAGAGAACCCTGTTCCTCTTTGGGAATATCCTTATTTGGATCTTGAGCTTTTTGAGTTATACTTCTTATAGTACAAAACTCAGAAGATCCAGCGGTCCTTTTCTGACAAATAATGTCATCTTCATCTGTAACTGATATGAAACAATCGTTGCTATTTAAAATAGCAAGCTTGTTATCCTAAAAAAATCATAGTTTTTTTCTATAAAATATATATAAATAGTTATATTTTTTTACATTTGTAGTGTTAAATTAATGATAGTAAAATTAAATAAATAATCTCATTCCTTTATACAAACTAATAAAAATGATAATCTTAATGAAATGACTCAGTAATCAAAAATTGCAATGAATAATATATTTACTTGAAATATTGGTTCCCACTGTTCAATCATGCCTACTGCATCACTTCTTCCAATGACAACGCCTTTTTTATCAATACCTAAGTATTTTCCATAACCAGATTTCAATGCAACTTTAGTTTCACTTATTGGAAAAGCTGTTAGAATCTCTTCTGGTAAAGGCCCTTCACCTTCATTATGAGGTGCACCTAAGGTAAATAATCCATTATCTAATGCTTTCATGTAGATATGATTTCCAAATTCAATCGCTACTGTTCCTGTAACTTCTGACACTTGTGTAGCTTTCCACCAACCACCTATGAATAACATACAATACAATTACTTTGATAATCGATATGAGGAAGTACATATATATTAAAATAAAATACCATGACTTATAGTATCTTTATCTTCTGAGGTTATAATATGTCCTTTCTCTTGTTTTTTCAACTTCCTCTTTTTCGTTCTGTAAAAAACAAAAGAAAATAATTCATTATTTCTTAAAATATATATGCATTGAAATGAACATATTATGCATGGGAACAACTTGTATACCTTTTTTTTTCACCTTTCAAAACAAGTTTTCCAGTTCTCACTTTATCATATTCTGACATTTTCACGTTTCTTTATATATTAATTCTTATATATTTATTCTGTAATTTTGATTATTGTATTTAATACAATAAAATATTCTTGTGAATTACAGAAAAATATTTTTTTTGTCACGTACGTAAATATATAGATGAAAAGATTAATAATTATTATTAATATTTTGAATAATAAAGATTATATCAATAACATTGTCATGTTTTACACTTATTCTTATAGACTACAAGAAAAATAAACATCTACGATGTAGTTACTCTTTACTAGTTGTATTTCTTATATTTCCTAAAATTGTATTAGAGAGGAAACTGGTTGTAGTAATATCAGTACCGTCATGTACGCCCTCTATTAAGCTCTGTGTAAACTAACTTGCGCCAAATTCAAATTGTAAAAGATCGTAATTGAAGCAATGAACAGAGACAATTTATCTAAGTAAATATTTTATTTTAATATGATTTTGATAATATATAACCATATATAAAATATATAATCAAAGAAGATAATCGTAAGATAACCATATAAAAATATAATACTTAACAGTCAAATTATTTGCCACTGATAATTCTAATCACTTTCTGATTTGCATATTTATCTAAGTTACTATGGAAAAGAACATTGTCAAGGCACAAACAATTGTTCTTATTTGATCGTAAACACATTGCATTTTTTATGTAACAACCGAAGACACAAGTATACCGGACGAAAGTACGAAAGACAGAATTATAAAGCTAATCCCGACATCCGGACACTATTCTAAAAATGTGGAAATCATGATAGATTAAAGATTTTTCAATTTGTAATTAGTTTATCAAAATATAGTTATTTGTTTCAAGTTTAATTCTTTCTGTATTCTTTCTAAACTATTCGTTAATTCCTCATTTGTTTAATTAAAAATTCCTAAACACGAACAGAGTGCTTTAGCATTCCCCAGGTAATAACCCAGCCTGAAATTCCCCCAGTTCTTGAACAGCACTAGTGCACGATTAATCACACAACTATAACATAATAGGTCTCGACCTTGACATGCGCTAGGGAAAACCGTCCAAAAATTGAGTCGTGACTAGTTGTGAAAAGTACTGAAGACAACAAAGTTCGCGTTCTTGTCTTCCATGTTGATTTTTCATAACTAATCACGACTCAATTTTCGAATCGTTTTCCTTAGGTTTCGGTATAGTTCCCTAATTTCCTAGTTTCAATCGTGATCAATCGTGCATCATATTTATTTTCTTATTGTATTTCTGTCTAGAGCATAAAGCTTATATCAGAGATGAGTAAACTAATTCTGTTTATACGAATGAAATGGAAGGCGTATATACCAAGCATAGACAAATGCTAATTATTTAGATTATGAGACACTACACTAATTCTTGATTTTCACATATGTGGTTAAGAATATGATTAAGCATAAAAAACAAGAAAATATTTCTTTCTACACAAAGTTACGTATTTGAATCAGAGTTAGGATCAGTCATAAGCTATATAAAATTTTTATATGAATATTTATTTTATATCATTATTATATCTCTGAAAGAGCTAGAAAGTAATAATATACGTTATATATAAATTTCGATACTTGCACATACATGCATGTATCGAAATTTTTAAGCAAAAATATAAATATTAGTGATTATTCACAAATATTTAAATTTGTTGTGTATATACGATATTATTCTCAAAGAAACTATATAAGCAATAAATTATCAGATACGATTTAATGTTATAGTCTTGTAGCGTATAATCAATAATTCATACTGTATGTACTATTATCATATATATCTATTTTAAAATTATGGAAGGTAAAAATATTAAATATTATAATTTGTATATTTTAATACTAAAAACATTACAATATAGGCCATATTTAAGCGCAATAAATATTTTAATATATGCATAATATAAAAGTGCAAACGCGAGGTCCTTCGCAGGACTCAGTTCAAATATTTCTGCAAATAAATATGCAGAATACAAAATTCACTTTGATTATTATATATTTAGATAAAATATAAATATACAATTCTCTATTAATATTGGGAATACAAATGAAAATTACCTCACAAATATGGAATCAAAATGTTATACTATCAGGATATTACAAAATTTGTAAATATATATATATATATATATATATTTCTATGCACATAACTATTTTGCGAGTTTTATAACATGAAATGACTAAAATTACAAAACATTTTTTTATGAAAGCCATAATCTATATGGTAAAGTTATATATAAAATTAAAAATGTATAGTTTTATTGTATTCAGTAGTCGGTACCAAATCTCCACTAAAAAATTAAATTGTGGCACACTTTGAGGTGTAGTAATGGCATATGTAAGATACTATTTTGAGTCTTACACAAAAATTGAATTAATTAGATGTAAATTGAGTAAAAAAACTATATTTGATTTAATATTGGGTTATATCGAATAATTGATTTTAGTCAATTTAAAAAAAATTTTTGTCTAATATTTAACAGATGTAACATTGATATATTTTAAGTTGAAAGTTATCTTTTAATATTCGTCAATATCATTTAATGTTATCTTTTTATATATTTTAAGTTGAATATTTAATGAAAAGAGAAATTCATATAGTTTTGCAACTATAAACTTATAAGTATTTGTAAACAATTAAAGATACGTATGTTATGTTCATACGTATGTTATTTAATGGAAGTATACTGGTACTATTTAAAAATTATGTATGAGACAGTATCTCAAAAATTCAATTTAATAAATTAAAAAAGGAATACTGTAAATACTACCATTTTTTATACATATACCTCTTTTTACAAAAAAATTGATACATAAAAATACTTTGATAAAATCTTTTACACACTAATCATCATAATTTAACATCTAATAATAACTTCTTTAATTTTGAGTATGATTCAACACCTCTCTGCACGGTGATATTACTAATAATTATAGGATTATATTTCGTGAAATATTAAGTCTTTCTTTTGATAAGAATAGAACGTAAAATTAGGATAAACCCTCTCCTCTTTCAAAGAAAAGTATTCATGGCATGAAATTTTTGCTATGAAAAGCATATTCAGTATCGAATTTTTTTAGTAAATACTAGTGAGATTGATCGATACCAAATGTGAATCTCATTCGTTACTTTGTGCACTATTATAAGTTTGCAAAAATCAATTATTTGCACGTCTGGGGATTGGATACCGAAGTACTAAAACACTGTCTGCTGATATAATTGGTAACACATTGTCACAATGATGATTTACTAAATGGCTAACGCTATCGAAAACGCGGTCTTTTGTGCGAACCTGGAATTATAATAAATCATAAATTTGCCTTTTTAATGTATGTAGATTTCTTCCAATGTTATGTTCTAAAATACTTACTACGCCTTCTGGATCAATTAACAGTAAATGTTTAGGAGTACCATTGTTCATACCAGTAAGGACATATTGTCCAGGCGAGCCTTGAGATTCTCGAACCAAAAAGTCACCATCCTGTCAAATATGTTATATTGAAAATATACACAACTTATATATAAATATTAATGGCAATACTTACCCTCGTTAACATTGATTCTGCTTCAGCACGACTAACACTACCATGGAACCATATCTCTTGTTTTAATTGTTGCTTTTGAGAATGGGGGCTTAATCTATTCAAATCTGATATTGCAGAACTAAATGGCTCTATAAAATTATATTATGTTATATGCTGGAATTTTAAATGCTATATCAACATTAAATTACTTACGCATATCAAACACATCAAAAAGTGATGTTTGGTCACGATGACTTTCTCTTGTAGCTGCTATGACACTGTCATTTACATAGTTATGTTCAGGAGGAATATTGAAATTCGTTGATGTTCCATCAGAATTCAAGTCAATTAAGTTATCACTTTCTACAATAACAGAAATGAAGTTAGTTTTCGTTATTAAATGAAATTACGAATTATAATAAAATTTTAAAGGAATGTTACCTGCCCATTGTTGATGATGTCTATCAGAATTTATGGAAAATGTGTCATGTAAAGCAGAATTTTGTACATTGCTACGTGACACATGATTTTGAGTAGAATGATGATGTTTTAAATTAGGTAGTGTTGATGCCGAAATTGGTAATGGTGGAACTGGTGGAGGGCCAATATCAGGTGGTACTTTCCCTGGTAGATCATTATAATAATCTCTATCTGCTTCTCGCATGCCATTTAACATAGGGCTGTATTATAAAAAAGATATATATTAAATAACATATTAAAGATTAATTTTATAATAAATAAAATTTGTTTTAATATCTATAATTACTGTAATGAAGCTGGTTTTGTAAGAAATTCTTTAAATCGTAATTCAAAAGCTTGTCCAATAGTAGATATGACATCTTGTGCAAGTCCTCCTCCACACTCTAATACATAACAAGCACGCCATTCTTGCATATTTTTAGCAACATATGCTACAAAGTCTAATATTTCCTATAAAAAAAATATATTAACCAGTTCATATGTCTGGCAATTATATAATACAAATGGTAATAAAAACTAATATTTCATAACATATAATTTACCGTATCTCCACCTGAAGCAAAAGATATACGTGGCATTTCATGTTTGGCAATAGTATGTCCAGTCTCTATGTTAGTCAAAGCTAAGCTACAGCTACTAATAGTTAAATTTATCGTAGCACCTGTATGCTCCATGCGAGGTTTATCTGCTATTGCTCTTAACACTTTCCTATCCACCTTCAAATATAAATTATTATAAATGTAAAGCTGCAATTATAAAAGTAAAAATTAATAATATACATACCCTTCTCTTTTTATCTGCAGATTTTAAACCAGCTGCCTCACAAACTCTGTTTATACATTCTCTAAAAAAAATTTGTTCATAATATTTTTAGTGTTTCTTTACATGTAAAATAAATTCTACATATAAATGTGTTTTAAAAATTTATTAAAAAGCTTACTTGGCAACACATGATCTTGTTTCAAAATCTAAGCTTTTCATAGATGTGTATACTTCAAGACATCCTATATACTGAAAATCATATAATATAATAATTAAACACTTATAATTTGTAAAAAATTATTTTAATGCTACATATTGATAATAGAAAAATAGAAACTTACTTTAACAGTATAGGTAATTCCTTCTTTGCTCACTAAATGATCAGGGTGTAACCATCCTCTGGCTGGTTTACTTATAAAACTACTACCTCCAGTTGCCATTTCTAAATTCTACGCACATAAGTATACAACTACAACATAAGCATTTTAAATATTATACAAAATATAAAATTTTGTACAATAAGATAAGAAAAAAATATCATTCAGAATGTTTTGTAGGCATATTATGTTTGTAATTTTTGTTCAAACTTGAAACTAATAATCATTCATTTTTCCAATTAAATATGTATAAATACAGTATCGCTTACAATGTCTTTGACACTTTGTAATTATAGTTATGATGGTAAGTCGACAATGATTATTACATAATGCAGACAACGTTACTTGACATTATACTTCAATTGAAATACATTTCTGGCAGTGACAACCGAATGCGAATAACTAAGATATTCCGTAAATTGCGAACAAGAAAATTTCGATTAACACACAAATACATGATTTATCAGGAAATGAGATCATACCTCGCAGACGGTTACTGGAATCACACGTCTACGATACAATTATACTCATTTGGTACACTAATCATTTCATAGAAATTTTTTTCGGTCACTATATAAAATGTAGTACTATAATAAATTCGTATTGGTCTGCATTTTCTGCTACACCCAAGTTAGGAGACACATTTATTATCTTGTAGAAAATTCCATAAATGCCAAACAAAAATTATCGACAATTTATTATGTTCCCTTTATCACCGACTGAACCAGTATGCTTTGTCTATTTTAAAATGCATATTTAATATACCATGATTTGTAATCAATTTTCGTATTACACATTTCACACTATGTACAACACAACTTCTCTATTATTCATTACTAAAAGATAAAAGCATATTAAAATAAATTGTATTTAAATATAAATAATTTATTAATATTGCTCCATCGGTAATAATTTTATTTTACGAAAAAGAGAATTAAATATATATTAATTTTTATACAAAAGAGATCAAAAATACATATTTATACTACACATATAAATTTTACTTATTTTTGATTAGTTAGTAATATGAATTAATATATATGAATTATATTTATTATATTTTATAAAATTCTATATGAATTAATATTTTCTTAAGATGTCTAGTAATATTGAAATTTTTGTATCACTACTGCGATCATATAAAGAGGTTTCGACACTCGCTAGAGAAAACCGTTCGAAAATTGAATCGTGTCTAGTTGTGAAAAATCATCATGGAAGCTCAATAAAATCCAAGTTCTTGTAAGACAGACAGACTTCTTGTCTTCCATGCTGATTTTTCACAGGTAGTCATACTCGATTTTCCTTAAACTTCAGTATTATATGAGTGTCAAGAGTCAAGAATTTTTTAGAAGATCATGATTAATAATGTCAGAAATGTCAGAGCTACCTTGACTTAACATCCTATATTGTGTGAATCTGCCCTTAAGAAAATTTCTTAAGAATAATTTTAAAATGTTCATTGTTTAATGTACTTATTCATATGTTTATAAAAGTAATGATTTTCCATTTAAAAGAGGATATGTATATAAATATATGTATAGATCGTGAAGATTTGAAGTTCTACACTTAAAATTGATATACATACAGATTTCAACCTTAAAAATGTTTTGTGTTTGGTTGAAGTATTAATTTCATAATTTATTAAACTTAATAACATACATGATATAATCTTTTGCATACCGTGATATAAAAATACTATGAAAAGAATAAAACTTAAGCCTAAGAATCCAAACCCACTATTTGAGCTCTGGTTAGAAGAATGGAGAAAAGAGGCTGCATCGAGAAATTCCGACTTGCAATATCATTTTTCGAAAGCACTCGCTGCATTAAAAAAATATCCCTTGCCGTTAAAATCTGGGAAGGATTGTATAATATTGCAACACTTTGGCACAAAATTATGCTCCATGTTAGATAGAAAACTCAAAGAATATAAAGTTCAAAATAATGACTCAGTAAGTGTGAAGAATGTTTGCAAGCACTGCAGTTTTAATGAACAACCTGTATTTAAAAGGAAACGCAGATCACAACAAAATATTGTGGACACAGATTTCATACCTGAAAGAGTAAATATATTTATATATTTCTTATATACAGATGTAATAACATATCAAAGAAATAAACTTAATAAATATATTGTTTCAAGACAGAACTAACAACATTTGACGATTTAAATTTATCATCTTGGAATGTAGAAAATTATGCTGCCTTATTGATATTATATAAGAAAACACTAGACTCATGTTATTCAGGTATATTTCAAGGAATATTTTTTATTTTTGTTTATTTTTGTTTATTTTTATTTTAATTCTATTATTAAATTATTATATCACTAATGAATACTATAATTTATTAGGATATACTACAGAAACAGATCTACTGTTGGAAATGAAACAGTTGTGTGGGCATGGAGCAAAGACTTCAGTCTTAGATTTGTTTGAAAGTGGATTAATTTCTATGATAGGTAGACCAATTAGGTAATAATATTTATTAATAACAATTTTTAAAATTATATGTGAATTTGACATTTCTGTAGTATTAAATGTAGTATAACTTGTATAGGTATAATCTTACAGAGCATGGTATAAGTATTTCAAAGAAGATATGTGAAATTACAACTACTAATGTAATATCATTAAATTCTTTTGAAGTATTAAATAAAATTCAAAACTCATTAAAACCATTGATTACACAAAAGTCTAAGTTAATAAAAGATTCAGCCGATCTTAATAATAGGAATGAGGAAACTATTACTATTGAAAATCACTGCCAACAACCTGATGAGAATTTTGAAAAACAAAAATCGAAGGAAAATATTGTCTACCCAAAAAGAGTACAAGAAAAAATGAAAGAAGTAAAAGATATGAATCATGTACATAATTTAGAAAATAATGAAACAGATTTTACAGATGATTTTCAAAGAAACTATTATTTAGAATCAAGAAATTTTGATATAATATTATTAGTAGATACACAAGAGACTGCTGGGTATGTTTACATTTTGTTAAATTATAATGTTAAAATTTTATCATGTATCTGTAAATAATTTTCATATAGTGGTAGGACAGAACCTCAACATGATGCTACTATCACAGGACTAACAGAGTTTGGTGTATCATTTGAGATACGTCATTTAAAAGTTGGTGATTTTGCATGGATTGCTAGGTGTAGAAGAAATAAAAATAATGAACTAATCTTACCCTTTATAGTAGAAAGGAAACGAATAGATGATTTAAGTGCAAGTATTACAGATGGAAGATTTCATGAACAAAAGGTATATATATGACATATGTATACATAATTCATATTTATATATTTTTAAATGGTTAAATAGAATATTATTTTATATAGTTTAGATTAAAGCAATCTGGAATTACAAATCTTATGTACATAATTGAAGATTATGAGAAGGGTCAAAGATTGACAATACCACATTCATCATTGATGCAAGCTTCCATTAATACTTTGATACAAGATGGTTTCTCTGTAAAATATACTAAGAATCATAAAGATTCTATGTTTTATTTGTCATCATTAACTAGAATTTTAATAAAAATGTTCAAAGTATGTAATCTTTTTACAACAAATTTTTATATTTTTGTGTAGTTATGTAATTTAGTTTGAATCGTATTTTATAGCAAATATATTTTTCTAGGAAAAAAACCTGATAGGTTGTAAAAAAGAAGTTATTACACGAACAAATATTTCAAATAATACCTGTAGTCTCATGGTATTTGAAGAATTTAATAAAGCAGCTTCTAAACAAAAGGTATTTAAGCTATTTATCACTGATCATTGATTTAATGTTTACATTTTTAGGTGTTAATACATTTTTTAGGTTTTTAAAGTAAATCAAATGTTTGTCCGCCAACTACTACAGTTAAAAGGAATGTCCATAGATAAAGCTTTAGCAATTGTAGAACATTATCCAACTCCTCGATTATTAGTTGAAGCTTTTCAGAAGTCTGGTTGCAATGGTGAGTTATTATTAGCTGCTATTGAATTTGGTGATAAAAAACGTCTTATAGGATCAGTAATTAGTAAAATAATTTATCAATTGTATATGAAAAAAGATCTAAACTGATAACTGAAATTTTATACGAATAAAGACATAAATGAATATTATATGTACAAAAAAAATGAACAAAATTTTATACAATAATAATATAGAGAATAATATTTTTATAGAATTAATTATTTTATAATATTCATACTCTCTGTAAAACTTTTTATTATATATATGATATTGGGCACATGATCACTACTAGTTACTATTTTCAAAATATTTAGCAATAATACCCCAATGAGTACATGCCACAAATTTCAGAATAACAGCATCAGTGACAAATTGATAACAAATTTTATTGAACCAGTATATAACAATTTATTGACGTACTTGGTAAAGTATTTGGTAAAGTATATCATTTTATTTCAATAATTTATGCCTTTCTTCCATTCAGAATGTAGTCATAATCATATAATATTGACATAACTCTTAGAAAAAGTAAGATTGGGTTGTCATTAAACCATAAAATTACTAGAAACGAATATTTTCGAGTAGGTACGAACGATTATTCTCTCAGTGACAAGAACATGGTGAAATACGACATACAAGCTTTAACAGTCTTGAAATTAAAGAATTATTATTACTAACATCCGCTTAAATTATTATAACATGATACTTTTATTAATTTCCATTATTACGTACTATTCCAAAACTTTCAATGTTCATCTCGTACATCCCCGCTGCTGTCAATATACACGGTTTGTTGGACCTCACTTGCATTAGGTAAAATACCTTTTGAGCTTTTGTCGGTATTTTATACCAATCCGAGTCATATCTGCCTCGAAATCCATAAGTTTAGACTATTTGCGGCTTTCTGTATTTTATATGCGTTGAAAACTTACATTTTATTGGACAATTCTACACTTTGATCCAGTAATGTTTGCCCTGGTAGACTAAACATGTACAAATGAAATTGTTCTGCTATGAGGTAGACAATAGCCCTGATGGCTTCTGCCGGTCGGTCCAAGAACACAATTACCTAGAAGGTAAAAGCATCGGTTTCGTTCTTTCTCAATACTTATTCGACTCAGGATGTTCCTCCTAATTCAAACTTTTATGAAGAGAATTAAAAAAACATGGTAGTTACATAAAAAATTGTTTTACATATGTCAACATTTGTATTTTCAAGAAATGCAGAAAAAATTAACAATTTAGTAATTTCTAAGGTGTATAAAAGATGTTCTTACTTCAACAGCTGTTACGCTGAGAATGATTGCATTCAACACCATCGTAATCAAGTACAAATTCCGGCAACATTTCTCGAGGACGTCATAAAGTCTTAAAATATGACAAATGAACCAAAGTCAGTTCAAGTTGTATTAATTTCTTATCGGTTATTAGTTTACTATTAACTAGTCGGACTTAAAACTATACAGACTGAAGACATTTATAGTGCATCATCACGCATTCTTTGAAAGCATCGTATCCAATGTTGCGTATGTTAGTACCATTTTTCTCGACAAAATTATTTTCTGCAGTTTTCTGAATCTGGGATCTGTACATGTGAATAATTGAAGTCCAAATAAGTAAACATATATAAATGAAGTATACTCTTTACCGCGTAATACAATTTTTGCATTGTTTTAACAGAATTTTTATTTAAACCATTGTATTTACCCACATACTGCAAATAATCCGCAAGCGTGATAAATAATAGTAATGTATAACGAATCTACCGAGATTATCGTTACCACGATAATAATCGCACAAAGAGATAAATGCACATACACGATATAGAAGTGTTCTTCGTTATCTAGGACACCATAGTGAACTTGAAATACATTATTTCGTTGTCGGGTTTCGTTTAATGGTATAATAATATCTAGGACGGGATTATATAATGGAAGGGACAGAAATATTACGAGAGCTATTAATAACGTTCCTGGAAGAATTATTTTTAATTAAAAATTATTTTTATATCCAACACTTGTTGTGGAAGTATATAATAAAAATCATAAGATGACCACTTACTTCTGTACAGATATGCAAGTTTATAGCCGTGTTTGGTAAATTTATCTAGCATTTGTAATTCATTTTTTGATTCCAGTAATTTCCAATCTTCTTCCAGGGAATTAAATAATTTTCTAAACTAATGATATCTTGATTATTATGACTTTGTATGTGAAGGAGATATTAAATACATACGTACCAGCGTTTTGTTGGAATAGATGTTTAGTATTTTTGCAACACTGATAAATACTGTAAGTATGTGCGGTAAATTCAGGATGACGTTATCGAAATCTTTGTTACGTATGGCATCGTATAGCTGCATAGACTATGGAATCGTGAATCCCAATCATGTAATAATATTACCTGATTACTTACTCTGCTATTTATTTATTTTTCATTATATTCATCGATTAATAATAATAATCATGAAAAGGACATAGCATACGTTCCTCTTACCGTTGGACCAAAGAAGCTTATAAAACCGCACATTATTGCAATTACTATAATATTACTAGTACGATCTTCCTGATACGGATTTATCCCACAAATTGACAGATACTGTTTAAGCGGCTTATGGTAGCTAATATCGAACACATTAAAATCTTGCTTGTTGTTTGCCTGAAACACTGAACATTGCCGTTTAAACTAACAATTTAAGTCTTTTATTGAAAAATGTGACTCAACGTTGAATTTGATATTATAATGTAAAATATGGTAGAATGAAGAAGAAAAAGAGAAAATGATATGATGTGCTAAAATAAGAAATTTATTTCGACATCTATTTTTTGGTATTTGAAACATTTATAGTCAGTGAATTATAACACCGAGTTACCGCAATAATCATAATTTGATATCAAATTTTTGTACAAATTTGTACCTTTATGGACACAAGTAATGAAATGGAACTTATATAGAGATTCGCTTTACCGATTAAAATTAATATATTTTGGTATATTATGAGAAATCTATGAAATTTTGCATTTTTAAATTTCGTATAATTGCAAAAGAATCCACAGTCAGCAACAATATAGAATATATTCAGTTTTCTCTTACTATTTAAATTTCTTAGATCTGTCTAATACAGACGACTTATTAGCAAACGAGACGGCGAAAGTGATTTAACAAAGTTGTATGAAGTATGAAGTATGAAAGTTGTTCTTTATATTGTACACCGAGAAATTGAAATGGATCCTATGAATGCACTTATATCCCTTCACCCGATGTCTGTGAAAGCATGTAATTTTTACCATCGAATTAGTTTGACGGTTTGCTTACCGGCAAGTATGCATTATAGCACAATGTTGGGTAGCACGACATCGAATAATAACTATGTCGTAGATGTGAAAATAATAGGCCATCGGTTGCTGGAATGTCAATCATTTGCGTTGGGAATTGAAAACCTGTGGTTACCCTGAAATATCGACCTCACTGGTTGTGACACAACCTTAGTCGATGACGATCGGCGATAGCAGCAGGTTTTCAATCAATTTATTCCTTGAAAATTCTTTGGTGGTTAATATCTTACGAGCAAGAAGCATGCATATGTGTGCGATCGACATTGCAGTGACACCCAATTACTTGTTGCGTTGTATATTTGTAACGCATCGTCCAAAGTTTTATACGCATATTATATTAATCAATAAGCTGCTATATAGTGTATTCGGCTACAGGTGTAAAAATATTTAAGGGGCGATACTTGAAGTTAAAATATGATGAAAATCTAGAATAAAAAGATCGTGTTTTCGGTTTCCTTTTTTAGTTATTGAGAATTAAATATTATCCAAAATACCTCTGTGCCGAGCAACCTTCTTTACAGGAACGAAAGTAGGTGAGTCTAAGCAGCGGGGTACACAGGGTTCCTTAAATCGAACGATAGATGGATAGCAGCTTATCTCGTACAGGCCGTAGGGAAGAAGATTATAACATTCGAAAACATAATTCATTATGCCTACTAAGTAAAATCCATATATAAAATCCAGCATATTTAAAATCTGTATATGTATATTGGCGAAATGATATCTTACGCGAACAATAGTTATGAAACTGTGGCGGCACTCGACAGCAAATACCACCGGAAGATAACTAGTGTCGGACAACGGCAGCGCAGTGGTTAGCGCCTTAGGTTACGAACGTTCGGGACCCGGGTTCAAATCCCCGGCGACCGGAGTCCGATTTTTCTTTCCACGATTCTTAAATGAGAAGAAAATAAAGCAGTATCTGCCCCAGCAGCGACATCTACAGCCAGCAACTACAACTATCACGGCCTCAAAACTAACTACTAATCTTGTTAAAATGCTTGGTAACAACGTAATTTTAGTAGAAATATAATAAAAGAACCAAACTCAGATCTAGTTATATTAATTTCTTATTGATTATTAGTTTAGAAGAGATCTATAATGCAACATCACATATTCTTTAAACTCTTCGTACCCAATGCTCTTAATGTTAGCGTCATTTCTTTTCGGCAGAATTATTTTCTGCAATTGAGATCTGTATACGTCAATAATTGAAATCCAAATAAATGGACATTCATGAAAGAAATATGTATACCTTGTACCATATGATATTATTTTTGCACAGTTTTGATACAATTCCTATAGGAACTATTATATTTACCCATTTATTTGTTTAGGAATTATTAAGCAATACTTCAGCGAAATGAAATTTTGCACAAATAATTATTATAGAAGAGTTTAAATAACCTTATATGGAGAAATAAAGAAGCCAAAATGATTCCTTCAGGAAGTCTTACAAAAGATGGCGAAATGTCCATCTCATTTTCGAGATATTATCATTAGCTTATAAAAATGATTAAGTAACAGTGATTTACATTATTAAGCGAGATCAATCTATGTTTAAAAATATTTAAAAATATTCTGTGAAAGATATAGTTTAATAATTTTATTTACATCGATAACGTTGTTTAAACTATTCAACATTAACAATGCATAGTGACTATTTATCTTATTATCCTCATTGTAGGTCCATCCAGGTATAAAATGCAATGAATATGAGTAAATGTCTATGAGTCAATTCATCCTCTCAGTGACATTAACATCGTGAAGTATGACATACATGTTTTGAAAGTCTTAAAAGAGAAATGACGTAAGTACCTACTAGTTAATAATATAAAGTAACTATAACTGTCCCATAATATTACATACAATTGCAAAATTTTCCATATTCATTTCGTACAATCCACCTGCCGTTAATGTACACAGTTTTTTACTCCGTATTTGCATCATGAGAAGCATTTTTTGAATTTTTACTGGTATTTTATACCAGGTGGACCCATATCTGTTTTGATACGAGTAATAAATTATATTTTTTTCTACGATTGAATATTTGCATTTTATACGATTGCACTAGATACATACATATTATTTGCTAAATCAGAACAATGATCCAGAAGTACCTGCCCAGGCAGACTGATCACAAACAAATGAAATTGTTCAGCTCCAAGAAATATGCCGGTTCTAATTGCTTCCGCCGGTCTTTCTAAGTTAGCGACTGTCTGAAAAATACAAACTTTCAATTAGGAAAATGCTTCCAGAATTTTCATTCGTTTTCAATTATTAGATTCTCTTTACTTGAACAGCTGTCATGCTTATACCCATCATATTTAATCCAACTTGAAGCAAATAACTACTTCGACTGTTTTCATTTAGAATATTGTAAAACCTCAAAATATAACGAAAAAAGCACATTAATTGCGATCAATAATCATCTCGCACCGTATTGTATTTTATCGTCATTTAATAAATACAAACTCGATCGCTTTATCGTGAGTGATCACACAATTTTTTATCTGTTCGTACGTGTAAGTCTCCGTCATAGCTTCTGTAGAGAATATGATTGAACTACTAGTTGCTTTATGGACTTGATGCCTATATTTTGAATATAATTATAAAAAATGAAATCTTATTAGTTTTATCTTCTTATTCTTATTAGTACAAAAAGAGATATATGGTTATTGATCCTTAAAAGCTATCATTAAAGAATATCACGTCTATGTTATCAATGGGGAAATTTCACGCATGATAGCCTTTACGGATTAACGCGATCTTATGCTTTTTGCAGTATCATATTTACCCACACACCGCAAATAATCCACTACTGTGATGGATTATAAGGATATATAACGAATCTACGGTAACTATTATCATCACAACAATAACAGATCCCCATGCAAGCTGTAAATATATGTAAAAGAAGTACTCTTCATGATCAAAAAATATGTAATTAACTCTAAATAATTGTTGTCGCGGTCGAGTTTCATTTAATGGAAGGACGACATCCAGAATAGGAAAAAGTAATGGAACCAGCAAGAACAGTACCATGAAGATCAATAAAGTATCTGAAATGATCACAATTGATCGCTTATGTTCAAAATATTAATAGAACAAATCCTTTATACACATAGAAGCACTGTAATTGAAAAATTAAGACATGATAACCTACTTCGGTACAGTTGTGCCATTTTGCTGCCTTGAATGGTGACATCCTCCAGAACGCGTAAATCATCGGTTAACTTCAATTCCTTCCATTGTTTCCTCACAAATTCGAACAATTTTCTAAACTATGATATAACATGTATTTTTACGACTTTATAATATGTTTTCATTCCCAAAGCTTAATCAGGTAACAATAAATTCACGTACATTTTCTCTGTTGAAATGGACATTTAATATTTTAACGATACTAGTTATAGCTGCGATTAAATGCGGCATACACTCGATCACTCCGTCCATATCCTTGTCATATAAGGATCTATATACTTCTAATAACTAGTGATTGTAGGTTCCAATTGTCAATAACGTTATCTGGTTATTTACTTTCTTGCGAGGAATTTATTCAACTAAGTTTTTTCATTTCGATTATAATACATTTTATAGAAATGTATCTCTATAAATAAAGAATACATTTCTATAAAATGTACTATACGATATGTTTCCCTTACCGTTGGAACGAGAATGCCTGTGATACTAGTCACCATTATAGTCACAATAATACTTCTGAATATATCTCTTTGGCGTGGATCTTGTCCTACAATTTGCAAATATTTCTCGAGCATTTTATAGTAAGGAATGTCGAACATATCGGTAGACTGTGTTCTGACTTTCTGAAATGCTGAATGTTCTAAGTTTAAATTAATTTCATGAAAGAATTATTCCCGGCTAGTTTACTTTAAATACCATAAAAATTATATATTGACAAAGAACTATTTTAATTATTTATAATTTATATTGCATTTGAGTCATTCAGAAGACAGGTACTGATCCAACCGCACTTTTTATTAATTTTTAAATTTCATTACACATGCACACGATTAATATTCAATTTTCCAGAAACAAATTTGCTTCCATAAATTTTTCTTATCGTAAGAAGGTGACGTAAATGATGGTAAATTCTAAGATAAATTTAAAAACAATAATAGTTGTAATATCAACATTTTCGTGTGCTCTTCAATTTATAGAGTTGATCAACGTGACTTCTAAATGGCTCATTTCTATCTCTTACTATCCATATTCCCAGATTTTCAATTAATTGACTTCGGTTAACGTTCGGACTATCGTCGTGCCGATTGAATAAATGTTTCTGTTCTTAAAATTGCGAAAGTCAATCTGCGAATGCAGTTATACTCGATATTCAATATTACTGAGCTTGTAATTACGGTTATCAAGTATGACTATGAATCGACTTCTTTGCCGGACAGGTATGCAGTATATAGCATAATGTCTAAGTTACCTATTGCTGAATGACAAGTGCATTATAGATAGGAGCATAACGAATCAAGGGTTATAGCGATGCCTGTCATTTAAACTGAAAATCGAAGATCTATGATTACAGTGAGATATTGATCGAGCCACTGACAATATGGTATTAACTAAGTACTCAGTGATGTATAAATAATTGTAGAATTAATTATACACTGAAAAGTCTTGAATTCTCAGAAAAGTATCGTACCTCTATTCGCAGTGTTGACGTGATAATATTTCCTTCGACCTCTAGCTAAAGCTTTGACACGTAAAAAAGTGCAACGGTGTTATTTGCGAGATGTAAATGAAACTTAAAAAAGTGGTGGATCCAGTTAGTTAATAGATTCAACCGTTGGAGTTTCATTATATGTATCTTGCTAAAATTAGTACACAAATGTAAATTTTCTCTGTGGCTCGATGGAACGAACTGAAAGAAATCTGTGAAATAGTGGTCAATTCATTATTTCGGTAAGGTATATAACATGTTTTACACTCTGTGTTATGTCGCGTAAGACATCTGCACTGTCTACGTATCGTCATTTCAACCCTCAATCTAATCTAAGGATTCACCATAAACCTTTAACTTTTAACTTCATTGTGTCAATACATGTTTTTCAGTCAATCTGTTTGTCCTGAAGGATTTTTTAATCCTAGAAATTTTTTCGGTTCACGGCTGGTTTTTAGAAAAGTCCTTGGGTTTATTAGGCGCTCTTGAAAACACGGAAAAAGCGGGTATTCACCTATTGGGAAAACCGAATATTTGTCTAACAAAACAAGCTGGTTTTTTCCATGAACAAGGTCACCCACAAACCACGTTGGTAGGAAGCTTCCTTCTCATACCTTTTGGCATTAACATGGGTCATAACCAGTCGACATCGCGGATCGTTACGCTCACTTTTCCTAACGAAAAGTGTGAACAACAAATCCGCGTTCTTCATTCAAAGGACACACTCACACCGAACTTTCTTCCGTAATAACATAGGAACGACAAGTCAGTCTTAAACTTATTCTCTAGACTACAGAGCAGTCACTTCATATCTATACTTAGTCTCCTTCAACTACGACAAGAAACTCAACTGTAAGGGCCTTGCTCCATTACCAAATAATATTGTGTGTGTACGCCAAATCATCGTCTACGACTTATATCATACGAAACGGTGTAACTCTTGAGTGTACAAGTGTTGGAAATATAAAGTACCCTGTTAATAAACCCTGTTAATCGCAGCGTTATACCACCTCAACCACCCCTATTATCTCAACGGAAATCAGGGGATCGACCTATTCGCGGCGTCGATTATTATAATCGTAACGGGAATTTACGACTCCCGTTGACGTGTTTCCTCACGATTGCGTCTCGCCGCGATTGGTCGAAAATACACTCTGAAATATCAAATAATATTGAAAGATGGTTCAATAATTCTATTTACGTGTTTAATATAGTAATTTAAACGATTTAATATTAACAGTACATATCTTGGCTATATGATCTTAGTATTCGCATTCCTGGTTAATCTTGTATCACAGCACAGTGAATTTGACTAAATAATTTCAACAGATAAGGTAGAACCGTTATTTTAGCGACAATAACATCGTGAAGTAGGACATGCACGTTTTGAAGGTCTTGAAAGAAATTGTAAGCAGTTAATGTAAGACGAGAAATTATTAGAATCATATAGTGATACATACCACTCCGAAATTTTCTATATTCATTTCGTACAGTCCGCCTGCCGTTAAGCTGCATAGTTTCCCACTTCTTATCTGCATCATGTAAAGTACTTTTTGAATTTGCACGGGTGTTCTGTACCACATGGCACCGTATCTATTATAACATCGAGAAAACACAACATTCGAATCAATCGATTCTTGATTGAGACTAATTATTAATTGCATATGAAGATTACAGAGAAAAACATGATAAGGTAGACTTTTTTATATTTTATTAATTAAGAAATTTTTTAATTTTATATTAATTGTCAGCCGATTTCCTAATACCAAATCTCTGATTCATTGTCATAATATTAATCGTATCAGCATGATATTACTTTTTCGGGAATAATCGCGTAGCTATTGCAGTTGCGCTTTGCACTTGCACTTTGCATTTGTACTTTGCACTTCGCACTTGCACTTTACGCCAACATTTCGTAAATGTTGCAGTCTGCTTCTTCAAGGCAGATCTGAAATTGAGGGTTTTGGGTCTCATTGTCTCAATCTATATTGAGCGATATTCCGATTGGTTGATCAAACCGATGACTCAACTAGGAAGATCTTCATTCGCCCGGTTAGAACTTCCAAGTTGAGCCATTAATTTGATTAGCCAAGCGGAACATCGCTTAGTATAAATAGCGACAACGGGGCTCGAAACCCTCAGTTTCAGATCTGCCTTCAAGAAGTAGACTGCAACGTTTACGAAACTGCGCAAAGTGTAAAGTGTAAAGTGTAAAGTGTAAAGTGTAAAGTGTAAAGTGCAAAGTGCAAGTGCAAGTGCAAGTGCAATAGTTACACGATTTTTCCCGAAAATCCGATATCACGACATCTCAGCATCGTAGAAGTTCAAAATCTAATTTAAAAAGTAACTTAATTATATGATTTCTTATATATTATATTATATATTATATATTATTTATTATTATTATATATTATATTATTCATTTTTTAAATATTGCACTGTTACCTATTTTAGAGTCGTTATTAAATTTATATCATATATTATACATTATACTATATTATATATGTATATAAATTATATAGACACCAAAACTGAAGAAGAAATCAACAATAAATGGAATTATCATGTTTGCCTCGTACGGTTTACATATTGCACGCGTATATTAGACATATATGTACATATTATTTCCTAGCTCAGTACAATGATCCAGAAGCACCTGTCCGGGTAGACTAAGCACAAATAAATGAAATTGATTGGCCCCACAAAATACCACGCTTCTAATTGCTTCTTCCGGTTTATCTAAATTTATTACTGCCTGAAAAATAAAGCTATCAGTTAAATACATGTTTCTTTTTAATTTTATTCGGCTTTTCTCCTTACTTGCAAGGCTGTTGCGCTGATTATCAACATATTTAATCCAACTTGGATCAAATAACTAGTTCGACTGCTTTCGTTTAGAATATTATAAAACCTTAAAATATAATAATAGAAAAAATTAGTTGCGTTTAATAATATTTTGATAAACTACTGTTAGATTGCAAATGTTTATACGTTTATGGGAAATTCAGAGATGCAAAATAATACAAAATGAATATAATACGCAAAAAAAATATAAAATATTCAAAGTATAGTATTCACTATGATATTTAGTTATTATTTTAGTCGTGTTTATAAAAATATTTTATGTAAATATTCACAGCCTATTTAGAATTTATTGTTACTCGACAGATACAAACTGGATGGCTTCGTTGTGCGCGATCACGCAATTCCTAATCTGTTTGTACGTGTAATTCTCCGAAATAATTTGATTGGTGTCTAAATCTTTTGTTGCCCTTTGCACTTGGTTCCTGTATTTTAACAACAGATAGAAAAAATAATTGTAACATCTTTTAAAATTTATTGTAGTGCCGTGTCAAAGCATTTGAACACTTATGCATATCTTTTGTAAATATATTATAATTATGATATATGTCTATATGTTTCTGACAGCACCATATTTACCCACACACGGCAAACAATCCGCTGTTGTGATGAATTATAAGGATGTACAATGAATCTACGGAAATTATGGTTACCACAACCATAATTGATCCCCAAGCTAACTGCATATATACGTAGAAAAAATAATTGGCGTCGTCAAAAATAATGTAATTAATTTTAAGCAGTTGCTGACGTGGTCGAGTTTCATTTAGTGGGAGAACGACATCGAGAATGGGAGAAACTAGTGGGACCAGTAGAAATAATATCAAAGCGGTCAATAAAGATCCTGAAAAGAATAAACTCGATAACTTACCTGCAAAATACTGAAAGAAAGTATTTTTGTTAGATAATAATAATATGATAATATACTTCGATACAATTGAGCCATTTTGTTGCCTTGCATAACGGTTCGATTCAAAACGTACAATTCATTGTTTAATTCCAGTTGTTCCCATTGCTTTGCCACAAATTGAAGCAATTTGTTAAACTATAAATAATATATTGCGAATATTTATTATATTATTTATATAAGAAACTCTTTATCTAATAATAAATTCACTTACATTTTGCCTGTTGATCTGGATATTTAATATTTTAATAGCACTGATCGTAGCTGCCATAAAATGTGGGAAAACGTTGATTACTGCGTCCATATTCTTGTCACATAACGAGGTATACAATTCTAGTGACTAATGATTGCAGGTTCCAATTGTTTAATAACATTACCTAATTATTTACTTTCTTGCGAGGAATTCATTTACTTTAGTATTCTCAATTTATCTATAACATTTTTCTACGAGAGGTTTACTAGATCCTTCCTTACCGTTGGTATAATGTTGCCTGTAATACTGATCACTACAGCAGTTACTATAAAATTCTTAAATCCATTTTTTTGACGTGGATCTTGCCCCAAAAGTTGCAAGTAGTTTTTTAGCATTTTATAGTGAGGAACATCAAATATATCAGGAGATTCTCTCTCAGTTTCCTGAAACGCTAAAATGCTCCAAGCTTAAATTAATTTCCCGATAATTTACATTAAGAACCATAAAAGAACAACATAAAATTATAACTATCACTAGTAGACCGCGGACTTTTATGCATTTATGGGAAATCTCAAGGTAAAAAATGTAAGGTAAAAAATCTCAAGGTAAAAAAAGCTCTCTTCTTGGCTTCCATTTTATTAATTATTTATAAAAATACTAATTTGCACAAACATCCGCGATCTAATCATACTTCAAAAAGTGGTAACTATTTCGATTTTTGTGTAAACCTATTTCGCTTACTAGCCATATCTCCTTTTTTAACTAGAGTAACCGCTTCAGAAGAAAGACTGTCATGTGGAGAGTATGAAAGTTCTGTTTCTCAGGATCGTAGAAATCAATATGATATACGTATGTAAGTTTTCATTCGACATTCGATACTATTAGACATCTGCAGTTTTTCCATCAAGCGTTAATGTGAACTTTTTCGATTTGCTGTCACACGAATATGAACTATGGTATAATTTTTAATCTGTGACATCATACTTGAAGAGAAAATTATGATTTCCGAGGCTCTATTGTAGCCTGTCAAAACGTTCTGCAGTATATGCAACACCTGTCATTATAGTTAGTCTCTTAAATATTGATATCGTTTCGTAGAGCGTCCCAGTTAAATATTAATTGTAAGTGTCGAGAGATTTTTTGAAACAGTGTCATTGATCCTGAAAGACATTGTTCTTTTTATGAGTAGCGTATTCTAGTTGTAATACTTTCTTCGACATGCGATTGAAGATTCTTTACCAATAAGCTCTTATCACTGTTCACAACACGCGAATATTGTAACAATAGGATTGCGTTATCTTTATACTATCGTCAATTTCATGTGCCTAAAGTTGTATAATTATGCTAGTGTAATGTAGGAAATGAATTCTGTGAAGTAGTACGGAATGTGTGTTATTTAGGTACGATTCATGTATTAAAATATCAATATCGTATGAAAATTATGTGACTTTATGTCTTTATTTGCGCATTCGTCGAAGTCATCAAAAATGTCAAGTATTACATTATATCGGCTATTTAACATACTATTTATACTTCTGGCTAAACTGGGTACAAAACGCAGTGAATACAATTACATATTTCAGGTATCGCAGATTCAGTTTTTTAATGACATCAACATTGTGATATAGGACATACACGTCTTGAAGGTCTGAAAATGTAAATTCTCGAAAATAGTAAGTAACGTAATATCAATATATAAGTACAGTGCAACGGTTTGTGGACAAATAGATTCTTCACTTTGTAGTCCAAAATAGATGTTTAACGAAATTTTAACTAATATTGACTACAGCGGCATAACAAGTAAAAGTAAACAGTAGAACAAATAAGGGCCGCTATTAATGCTAAATAAAACTTTAAAATGTCAGTTCTAGAATGTAAAGTACGAAATCTATCTGAAACATACATATTTGCACAGTACTTCACACACATTTATAATAGTGCTAGACTGATACATACAATTCCGAAGTTTTCTATATTCATTTCGTACAATCCACCTGCCGTCAATGAACAAAATCTTTTGCATCTTATTTGCATCACGTATATTACTTTTTGAATCTGCACGGGTGTTCCGTACCATGTGGAGCTGTAACTATTTTGACACGAGTAATTAATTTTATTGGAGACTGTAACTAATGTAGTCTATATGAATACTTTCTTAACACATACATATTATCTGCTAAATCAGAACAATGATCCAGGAGCACCTGGCCTGGTAAGCTGAGTAAAAACAAATGAAATTGATTAGCCCCACAAAACACAGCACTTCGCATTGCTTCTTCCGGCCTGTCTAAGTTTACCACGGTCTGAAGAATAACATTAGATAATTATTTACCAAGAATTATTTTTCATTTGTATCTGTTATCTTTTTAAAATTGTCTGTACTTGAACAGCTGTCGCGCTGATACCCAACATATTCAATCCAACTTGAATTAAGTAACTACCCCGACTGCTTTCTTTCAATATATCTGAAAATCTTTAAAATTAATGAAGATGTATATTAGTGACATTTCGTAATTTTTTGATTATTGTAATAAATACAGACCGTATGGCTTCATTGTGCATTATCGCGCAATTCCTGATCTTTTCATACGTGTAATTCTCAGAAATAGCTTCATCAGTAAAGTAGTTTGGATTTAAAGTTGCTTTTTGGACTCGATGTCTACGGTTAACGTAACAAATAATGAGCATGTGTGTACTTAGTATAAATATTGTGATTACAATATTTACTAGTGCATGCGAGAATGCTGCCTCATAACCATCCCTTGCATAACATTATGACATTTACCCACAGACTGCAAATAATCCACTGCTGTGATGAATTATTAGCATGTATAACCAGTCTGCACCAATTATGGTGTACACAACAACAGCTGCTCCACAAAATAATTGTAAGTATATATAGAAAAAATAGTCATCATCGTCAAAAAATATATAATTAACTCTTAGTAGCTGTTGGCGTGTTCGAGTTCCATTTATTGGATGGACAATATCAAGAATGGGAGAAATCAGTGGCACCAGCAAGAATAATCCCATAAAAGATAGTAAAGTGCCTGAAAATTAGTACAGTTGATTTTTTACGTGTAAATAATTCTACGTATATGTCAGAGAGAACTTTTTTTGTTAAACGTCAGAAATATTGGAAATCATGACGAGAATTGGGATATCTTTACTTACTACGATAAAATAGCGCCATTCTATTGCCTTGCATGACGATTTCCTCTAGAACGTGCAGTTCGCCGTTTAATTTCAGTTCCTGCCAATGTCTTGCCACAAGTTGGAACAATTTGTGAAACTAGAAAAAAATAAGTTTTTATGCCTCTTGCGTCGTTCAGAACTTTTTATATAAAAAGAAATTAGCGCACATTTTGCCTGTTGAAATGCATATTTAATATTTTAACAGCACTGATGGAAGATGCGATAAAATGTGGCAGACACTCGATGACTCCATCCATGTCCTTGTTATGCAACGACGCAAATAACTCTATTGTCTATCGATTCCAAGTGTTTAATGATATTACCTGATTATTAGCTTTATTACGTAGCATTCACTCAATCCAGTTTCCTCATTATATCCTTCCTACTTTTCTATCTAATGATTGACGTATTTTTCTTACCGTTGGAATAGTGATGCTTGCGATACTAGTCACCACTATTATTACAATCATATTTCTAATGCTATTTCTATGACGCGGATCTTGTCCTAAAAGTTGGATGTATCGTTCGAGCTTATTATAGTAAGGCACGTGAAATATTTCGGGGTCGCCAGTTTTCTGAAACACTGAATACTCCAAGCTTACGTTAATTATACGAGTTATATTAAATATCATAGAAATAACATTAACGTAATGTCAATATAACTGGACGCTGCGGATTTTTATACATTTATGGGAAAATTTCAAGGGAAATAGATGCATAGAATGCATATCATATGCAAAATACATAAAATATTCGAAGTATAATATTATTTATAATATATAACAGGTAAAAAATTTTTCTGTCTGGTTGCGGGATTTTCAATTACATTCGTATAAATATAGGTCTGCATAAATATCCGCTATATAAAAAAATATAATCGTCCGCTAATATAAAAAAATAAAAATCGTTAGTTTAAAAAGAACTAAATATTTTAGTTTTTGTGTAAATCTCTTTTCCTTACTAGCTACAACTTTGGGTTTTAAACGCCGGTGATCTTAACTCGTGCAATTGCTTTAAGCGAAATCTCGTGTAACAAGTATCGTACGAGGTATGAGTTCCCTTCTCAGGATCATAAAGATCAATACGGTACGTACGTATGTGACTTTACTCGACGTTTGATATTACTGGACATTTGCAATTTTTCCACTAATTGTTAATGTGAACTTTTTCGATTTGCTGTCACACGAATATGAACTATGGTATAATTTTTAATCTGTGACATCATACTTGGAGAGAAAATTATGATTTCCAAGATTTTATTATAGCCTGTCAAAACTATGTTCTGTAATATATGCAACGTCTGTTATTATAGCTAGTCTCTTAAATATTGATATCGTGTCGTACGGCGTCCCAGTTATATATGAATTGTAAATGTCGAGAGTGACATTGATCTTGAAAGACACTGTTCTTTGTATGAATAGTGTATTATAGTTGTAATACTACTTCCTCTGACATTCGATTGAAGATTCTCTACTGACAAGCTTATCACTGTTCACAACACGCGAATATTGTAACAATAGGATTGCGTTATCTTTATACTATCACCAATTTCATGTATCTAAAGTCGTATAATGATGCTTGAAGTAATATAGGAAATGAATTCTGTGAAATAGTGCGGAATGTGTGTTACTTAGGTATGATTTCTATAAAAAAATATTAATACTTTATCTGAGGGATGTTTTTATATCTTTATTTGCCAAAGTCATCCAATATGTTCAGTATTACATGTCAGCTATCTATTATATTAGTTGTACGATTGGTAAAACTGTGTATAATAAACGGTGGATGATATTACATTTGACTAGTAATGCAGGTTCAGTCCTTCAGAGACATCAACATTGTAATGTAGGACATGCAAGTTTTGAAAGTCTGAAGATTAAAATATTCATAAATAGAAGATAATATAGTATATATAAATATAGTGGTATGCAAAAATTCCCAGCCAGGTAGCTTTTCCATCTTATATTGTAAAAGCCGTATTTGATAGAGTTTTATCTAATATATAATATGTAATATTAATAAAGAGTATAATAAATAAAGGGACACGATGGAACTAATAATAATTGTTTTATCGTTATAGTACAGTAATACTACGTAAGATTCTTGAAAATATCGCGTGTGTTATATGACATGAAAAATGAGAAATTTTTGTACACCACTGTACGTATATATAATAGCGCTAGACTGATACATACTACTCCGAAGTTTTCTATATTCATTTCGTACAATCCACCTGCCGTCAATGAACAAAATCTTTTGCATCTTATTTGCATCACGTATATTACTTTTTGAATCTGCACGGGTGTTCCGTACCATGTGGAGCTGTAACTATTTTGATACGAGTAATTAATTTTATTGAAGACTGTAACTAATGTAGTCTATATGAATACTTTTAACACACATATTATCTGCTAAATCAGAGCAATGATCCAGGAGAACCTGGCCAGGTAAGCTGAGTAGAAACAAATGAAATTGACTAGCCCCACAAAATGCAACACTTCGCATTGCTTCCTCCGGTCTATCTAAGTTTACTATTATCTGAAATATTAAGTAAAACAATTATTTATATAGAATTATCTTCAGTTTGTATTTGTTGCCATTTTCAAGATTATACTTTACTTGGACAGCTGTCACGCTTATTCCCAACATATTCAATCCAACCTGAATTAAGTAACTACCTTGACTGCTTCCGTTCAATATATTGTAAAATCTTTAAAATTAATGAAAATGTATATTAGTAACATTTCGTAATTTTTTATTTACCTTATCATTTTCTGTTATGCCTTATCGTCAATTAATAAATACATACAGTATGGCTTCACTGTGCATTACCGCACAATTCCGGATCTTTTCATACGTGTAATTCTCAGAAACAGCTGTACCAGTAGAGTTGTTTGGATTTACAGTTGCTTTTTGAACTCGGTGTCTACGGTTATGATAACAAAAATGAATATGTGTACGTGTTATAAATGTAGTGCATGCGAGAATGGCGACCAATAACTAAATCTTGCATCACATTATGATATTTACCCACAGACTGCAAATAATCCACTGGCGTGATGAATTATTAGCATGTATAACCAGTCTGTACTAATTATGGTGAACACAACAACAGCTGCCGCACAAAATAATTGTAAGTATATATAGAAAAAATAGTCATCACCGTCAAAAAATATATAATTAACTCTTAGTAGTTGTTGGCGTGTTCGAGTCCCGTTTATTGGATGAACAATATCGAGAATTGGAGAAGTTAGTGGCACCAGCAAGAACAATACCATAAAAGTTACTAAAGTGTCTGAAAATTAGTACAATCGATTATTAGCGCGTAAATAATTCTACCTGTATGTCAGGGAGGACCATTTTTGTTAAAAATTAGAAATATTGGAAATCATGATGTGATACCACCATGACTTACTATGGTAAAATTGCGCCATTCTGTTGCCTTGCATGACGGTTTCCTCTAGAATGTGCAGTTCGTCGTTTAATTTCAGCTCCTGCCATTGTTTTGCCACAAGTTGGAACAATTTGTGAAACTAGAAAAAAATAAGTTTTTATGCCTGTTGCATCGTTCAGAACTTTTTATATAAAAAGAAATTAGCGCACATTTTGCCTGTTGAAATGCATATTTAATATTTTAACAGCACTGATGGAAGATGCGATAAAATGTGGCAGACACTCGATGACTCCATCCATGTCCTTGGACTCCATCCATGTCCTTGTTATGCAACGACCTGTTGCATCGTTCAGAACTTTTTATATAAAAAGAAATTAGCGCACATTTTGCCTGTTGAAATGCATATTTAATATTTTAACAGCACTGATGGAAGATGCGATAAAATGTGGCAGACACTCGATGACTCCATCCATGTCCTTGTTATGCAACGACGCAAACAACTCTATTGTCTATCGATTGCAAGTTCCAATTGTTTAATGATATTACCTGATTATTAGCTTTATTACGTAGCATTCACACAAATCAGTTTCCTCACTTTACCCTCGTTAATCTTCTACATAATGATTTATGTGTTTCGCTTACCGTTGGGAAAATGATGCTTGCGATATTGATCACCACTATCATTACAATAATATTTCTAGTGCTACTTTTATGACGTGGATCTTGCCCCAAAAGTTGGATGTATCGTTCGAGTTCATTGTAGTAAGGCACGTGAAATATTTCGGAACCTTCGTTTATCTGAAGCACTGAATACTCGAAGCTCACATTAATTACACATTCGTGTTATATTGAAGACGACAGAAATAACGACAACATAACATTAATTTCATTAGTCACTGCGAGTTTTTATGCATTTATGGAAAATTTTAAGGGAAAGAGATGCAAAAAGTGTATTATATGCAAAAAGTATATTATATATTATATGCAAAAATGTATAAAATAATCAATATATAATATTGTCTATAATATGTAACAGCTAAACACATTTCCTGCCTGGGTCCGATTTTGTCAATTATATTCATAGAGATATAGGTTTGCATAAACACCCGCAGTGTTATCATTAGTTTAAGAAGAACTCAATATTATTTATAGTTTCAGTGTAAATGTCTTTTCGTTACTGGCTATAGCTCGAGATTTCTAACGCTGGTGTTTTTAACTGGCGCGAGTGCTTTAGGAGAAATCGCGTATGTAACAAGCGTCGTATGGAATACAAGTTCCCATCTGAGTATCGTTGAAATCAATATGGTTCATATGTAGTTGTACCAGGCGTTACATGTTACTGAGAATGTATAATTTTGGTCATTATATATTATACTGATTCAGTTTCTTGTCGAACAGCTGTGCAATTTGATATCATTTTAAATTTATTACATCATCCTGGTTAGGAGTATTATGATTTTCTGATGTTCTTCTGGCTCCCATTAAAATATTCCGCGGAACATGAAAGGCTTATTATTATGTATAGTTATCCTGAAATATTGATACCGTCCCGTACGACATGCCAGTTTAATTTTAATAGTAAATGCTACCAGAGTTTTCGAAACTGTGACATTGATCTTGAATGACAGTGTTCTTTGTATGCACAGTGTATTCTAGTCTCTAATACTTTGGCACTACTTCTTCGGACTTCTAACTGAAGATTCTTGACTGAGAAGATTGTCACTGTTTGCCACACACGAATATTGGAACCAATGGATCTATGTTATCGTTAGACTTACGATTGCCGGCATCAATTTCATTCTTCTAAAATTGCGAAATTGTTTTTGAAGTAATGTAAATGGAATTCACTGAAATGGCAGTGAATGTGTGTTATGTGTATTATTCAGGTATGATTTATGTGCTAAAATATTAACACTGTATAAGAGGGGTGATTGTTATATCTTTATTCGCCAATGTCATAAAAAATGTCCAGTATTACATGTCAGCTATTTATTATACTAGTAAAACTTATACTTGGTAAAACTTTATATAACACACAGTGGATGTATGAACGATTACATTCGACAGATAGTGCTGATTTAATTTTTCACTGACATCATCATTGTAATATAGGACATGCACGTTTTGAAGGTCTGGAAATTAAAATATTCGTAAGTAGTGGATAATACATACACGTATATACAGGATGTTTGGTTGCAAGCGTAAAAAAATTTAAGCTTTTTCTATGTCCTATTCTATTCTATATTCTATATTTTTTTCTATATTCTTGTCGCTAAAATAAGATGAAAATCAAAATTAAAAAGATTTCGTTTTCTGATTTGTTTTTCAGTCATTGTCAATTAAAAATTGCCCGAAATATCCCTGTGCTCGAGCAAGCTTCCTTACACGAACGAAAGATATTTAGATCAGCCTAAGCAATGGAGTGCACAAGAATCCTCAAATCGAACGATACGTGGGCAGCAGCTTCCTTCGCACAAATGTAGAGAAAAAAGAAAAAGAAAAGCTGTAGAGAAGAAAATAATGACAATCAAAGTCGCAAATTATCCTGCACAACGTCTTCTAAGAAATATCGGCCAACCACGGACAGGGCCATGGCTGTAGGTGTGAGAAATTTGTATAAACATTGTTTATGTACGTCATTATTTATTATTTATTTATGGAGACAGAGAGCTAGAGGAAACATTAATCCTCTCTATTTGAAAATTCCACGAGGCGATTTTCGAAACGCTGTTATGTACTTTAATAAGTAGACAAGTATAATGTCTAATCTACGATTTTTCTTAGAAAACATTGCGCAGGATCATTTAGGTCTTCGAAAGTCATTATCTTCTCCTCTACGGCTTGTGCGAGAGAAGCTGCTGCCCATGTATCGTTCGATTTGAAGATCACTGTGTATCCCGCTGCTTAGGTTGATCTAATTTCGTTCCTGTAAGGGTTCTTGCTCGCATACAGGGATATTTCAACCAATTTTTAATTGGCAATAATCAACAAACAAATCAGAAAACGCAAATTTTTTATTCTTGATTTTCATTTTATTTTGGCTTCAAGAATCACCCCTTAAATTCTTTTATACCTATAGCTAAACACTCTGTATAGTAGTATTCAATAGTTTATAGTAGTAAAATTATATTTGAAAGAATTTTATCTGATATTGAATATAAAGGCATA